ATACACTACACTATACACTACACTATACACTACACTATACACTACACTATACACTACACTATACACTACACTACACACTACACTATACACTACACTATACACTACACTATACACTACACTATACACTACACTATACACTACTATATACTACATTATACACTACACTATACACTACACTATACACTACACTATACACTACACTATACACTACACTACATACTATACACTACACTATACACTACACACATCACACTACACACACTACACATACACTACACTATACACTACATTATACACTATACACTACAATATACACTACACTATACACTACACTATACACTACACACGAAGTTTACCCCATCCCTACACATGCCATGCAGGGGTCAGGCCGCCAGGTGGCTAACACACAATATACACTACACTATACACTACACTATACACTACACTATACACTACACTATACACTACACTATACAATATACACTACAATATACACTACACTATACACTACACTATACAATTACACTACACTATACACTACACTATACCTACACTATACACTACACTATACACTACACTATACAATATACACTACACTCTACACTACACTATACACTACACTATACACTACACTATACACTACACTACACACTACACTACACACTACACTATACACTACACTATACACTACACTATACACTACACTATACACTACACTATACACTACTATATACTACATTATACACTACACTATACACTACACTATACACTACTATACACTACACTACATACTATACACTATACACTACACTATACACTACACACTATACACTACACTATACACTACACTATACACTACACACTATACACTACACTATACACTACACACGAAGTTTACCCCATCCCTACACATGCCATGCAGGGGTCAGGCCGCCAGGTGGCTAACACACAATATACACTACACTATACACTACACTATACACTACACTATACACTACACTATACACTACACACCACACTACACTACACACTATACACTACACACTATACAGACACACACTATACACTATACTACACTACACTATACAATACACTTTACTACACTATACACTACACTATACACTACACTATACACTATACTATACACTACACACGCATACACATACACTACACTATACACTACACAAATACACTACACACTACACTATACACATACACTACACTATACACTACACTATACACTACACTATACACTACACACTACACTATACACTACTACACTATACACTACACTATACACTACTATACACTACACTATACACTACACTATACACTACACTATACACTACTATACATTATACTATACACTACACTATACACTACACTATACACTACACTATACACTACACTATACACTACACTATACACTATACACTACACTATACACTACACTATACAATACACTACACTATACTACACTATACACTACACTATACACTACACTACACACTATACACTACACTATACACTACACTATACACTACACACTACACTATACACTACACTATACACTACACTATACACTACACTATACACTACATTTACACTATACACTACAATATACACTACACTATACACTACACTATACACTACACACGAAGTTTACCCCATCCCTACACATGCCATGCAGGGGTCAGGCCGCCAGGTGGCTAACACACAATATACACTACACTATACACTACACTATACACTACACTATACACTACACTATACACTACACTATACACTACACTATACAATATACACTACACTATACACTACACTATACACTACACTATACAATATACACTACACTATACACTACACTATACACTACACTATACACTACACTATACACTACACTATACACTATACACTACACTATACACTACACTACACACTACACTATACACTACACTATACACTATACACTACACTATACACTACACACGAAGTTTACCCCTCCCTACACATGCCATGCAGGGGTCAGGCCGCCAGGTGAGTAACACACAATATACACTACACTATACACTACACTATACACTACACTATACACTACACTATACACTACACTATACACTACACTATACACTACACTATACACTACACTATACACTACACTATACACTACACTACACACTACACTATACACTACACTATACACTACACTATACACTCCACTATACACTACACTATACACTACTATATACGACACTATACACTACACACTACACTATACACTACACTATACACTACACTATACACTACACTACACTATACACTACACTATACACTACACACTATACACTACACTATACACTACACTATACACTACACACTATACACTACACTATACACTACACACGAAGTTTACCCCATCCCTACACATGCCATGCAGGGGTCAGGCCGCCAGGTGGCTAACACACAATATACACTACACTATACACTACACTATACACTACACTATACACTACACTATACACTACACACACACACTACACTACACACTATACACACACACTATACATACACCACTATCACTATACTACACTACACTATACCTACACTATACACTACACTATACACTACACTATACACTATACTATACACTACACACGCATACACATACACTACACTATACACTACACAAATACACTACACACTACACTATACACTATACACTACACTATACACTACACTATACACTACACTATACACTACACACTACACTATACACTACTACACTATACACTACACTATACACTACTATACACTACACTATACACTACCTATACACTACACTATACACTACTATACATTATACTATACACTACACTATACACTACACTATACACTACACTCTAAACTACACTATACACTACACTATACACTACACTATACAATACACTACACTATACACCTACACTATACACTACACTATACACTACACTATACACTATACACTACACTATACACTACACTATACACTACACACTACACTATACACTACATTACACACTACACTATACACTACACTATACACTACACTACACACTATACACTATATACTACACTATACACTACACTATACACTACACTATATACATACACTATACACTACACACTACACTATACACTACACTATACACTACATTATACACTACACTATACACTACACTATACACTACACTATACACTACACTATACACTACACACTACACTATACACTACTACACTATACACTACTATACACTACACACTACACTACACACTATACACTACACTATACACTACTACACTATACACTACACACTACACTACACACTACACTACTATACACTACACACTATACACTACACACTATACACTACACACAATACACTACACACACACTACACATACACACTACACATACACTACACACACTACACACACTACACACACACTACACACACTACACACCACTACACACACACTACACACACTACACACTATACATACACACTATACATACACCACACAAAGACAAAGATCCCCCATATAGCCTTAACAGACTGTAGGGGCAAGTGCTGTTAGCGAGCACCTATGAAGGCCGGAACGGTACACGAGGGGGTGGGTGGCCCACCACGCCCGACCGCCTTTGTCTCCCCAGTGGCGATGTTTACTATACAGCACCAGGTACTCATTTGGGCTGAGTCGACTAGGGGAGGCCCGGGACCGGTTTCAGATAATCGTCGCTGGTGTTTGACCGTGAGCGGGAATCGAACCCGGGTCGCCAGGTTCATAGCGCAGCGTAGCGCTAACCGCTACACTACACACACACTATACACACACACTACACATACACACTATACATACACTACACGTACACACACACTACACACACTACACACACTACACACACACGACACTACACACACACTACACACACATGACACTACACACACACTACACACACACTACACACACACTACACATACACACTTCACATACACTTCACACACTACACACACACTACACACACTACACATACAACACACCACACTACACACACACTACACACACACTACACATACACACTACACATACACACTACACACACTACACACGCACACTATACACGCACACTACACACACACACTACACACACACATACACACACACACTATACACACACTACACATACACACACACACTACACACACACTACACACACTACACACACTACACATACACACACACTACACACACACACTACACACTACACACACTACACACACTACACACACACTACACACACACTACACACACACACCACACACACTACACACACACACACACTACACACACTACACACACTACACACACACACACTACACACTACACTACACACACTACACACTACACTACTATACTACACTACACTCCACACTACACTACTACACTACACACCACATCCTACACTACACTACACACTACATCCTACACTACACTACCCACTACACGCTACACTACTACACTCCACACTACACTGCACGCTACACTACACACTACTGCACTACTACACTACACTACTACACTACACTACTACACTACACACTACACTACACTGCTACACTACACCTACACTACACTACACTACATGCTACACTACTACACTACATGCTACACTACTACACTACACTACTACACTACATGCTACACTATACTACTACACTACACACTACACTACACTACTACACTACATGCTACAATACTACACTACACTACATGCTACACTACACACTACACTACTACACTACACTGCTACACTACACACTACACTAATACACTACACACTACACTACACACTACACTACACACTACACTACTACACTACACACTACACTACTACACTACACTGCTACACTACATGCTACACTACATGCTACACTACACTCACCGTGTGTCCCACCGCACAGCTCTTTGATCACATTGCGGGCTGCATGGCTGAGTTTCTGGGCGGCCTCCACATCAGGCAGCGGCTGCCCCTGGGGTTCACTTTCTCCTTCCCCTGCCTGCAGAACCGCCTTGACGAGGTGACGGCAACAACTACAACAATCACAACAACACTACAACAATCACAACTACAACAATCACACACAACAACTACAACAATCACAACTACAACAACTACAATCACAACAACTACAACAACTACAACAACAACATCACAATCACAACAACAACAATCACAACAACAACAATCACAACAACTACAACAATCACAACAACAACAATCACAACAACAACAATCACAACAACAACAATCACAACAACAACAATCACAACAACAACAATCACAACGACAATCACAACAACAACAATCACAAAAACAATCACAACAACAACAATCACAACTACAATCACAACAACAACTACAACTATCACAACAACAACAATCACAACAACAACAACAATCACAACAACAACAACAATCACAACAACAATCACAACAACAACTACAACAACAACAATCACAACAACAACTACAACAACAACAATCACAACAACAACTACAACACAACAATCACAACAACAATCACAACAACAACAATCACAACTACAACAACAATCACAACAACTACAACAATCACAACAACAACTACAACAATCACAACTACAATCACAACAGCCACAACAACAACAATCACAACAACAACAATCACAACACTACAGCAACCACAACACAACACAATCACAACAACAACAACTACAACAATCACAACAACACTACAACAATCACAACTACAATCACAACAACAACTACAACAACAATCACAACAACAACAATCACAACACAATCACAACAACTACAGCAACCACAACACAACAACAATCACAACCCCACAACAACCACAACAACAACAACCACAACGACAACAACTACAACAACAATCACAACACAAAAACACCACAATAACACAACAACAACAACAATAATCACAACAACAACCACACAACAACAATCACAACACAATCACAACAACAACCACAACGACAACCACAAAAACAATAATCACAACACAAAAACAACCACAATAACACAACAACCACAACAAAACAACAACCACACCACAACAACAATCACAACACAACAACATCCACAACAACAACCAACAACCACACAACAACAACGATCACAACAAGAACCACAACTACCACAACCACCACCACAACTACCCACAACTACCACTCTCTCCCCGTGTATGTCTCCCCGTGTCTCTCTCTCTCCGTGTCTCTCTCTCTCCCCGTGTCTCTCACCCCGTGTCTCTCTCACCGTGTCTCCTCTCTCTCCGTGTCTCTCTCACCGTGTCTCTCTCACCGTGTCTCTCTCTCCCCGTGTCTCTCTCCCCGTGTCTCTCTCTCCCCGTGTCTCTCTCTCAGGCTGTCCGCTCAGCGTCATCCCCTCCCCCCATCCCTCTCAGCTATTTCTTAAACTTGTTTAGATGTTCTTGTTGTTGTTATTATTATTCTTGGTTCTTTCGGTAAAGTCACGTTCAAAGGGAAACAATAAAATAATAAAATATAAAACAATAACATTATTGTAAACAATAAAATTATTATTCTTGTTCTTTCGGTAAAGTCACCACCACGTAGAAGGGAAACAATAAAATAATAAATTATAAAACAATAAAATTATTATTCTTGGTTCTTTGGGTAAAGTCACCACCACGTAGAAGGGAACCAATAAAAAATAAATATAAAACAATAAAATTATTGTAAAACAATAAAATTATTATTCTTGGTTCTTTCGGTAAAGTCACCACGCTGAAGGGAAACAATAAAATAATAATTTATTGTAAAACAATAAATTATTATTCTTGGTTCTTTCGGTAAAGTCACCACCACGTAGAAGGGAAACATAAATAATAAAATATAAACATAAAATTATTGTAAAACAATAAAATTATTATTCTTGGTTCTTTCGGTAAAGTCACCACCACGTAGAAGGGAAACAATAAAATAATACAAATATAAACAATAAAATTATTATTCTTGGTTCTTTCGGTAAAGTCACCACCACGTTGGAGGGAAACAATAAATAATAAAAATATAAAAAATACAATTATTGTAAAACAATCAAGTTATTATTATTGGTTCTTTCGGTAAAGTCACCGCGTTAGAAGGGAAACAACAAAATAATAAAATATAAAACAATAAAATTCTCATGACGTTTCGACTGGAACACAAGAAGCAATCATCATCAGGTGTGAAAACCACAGCAATTTTCCTGCTTTGTTAAAAAATATTTTATTGTTTCCCTTCTACGTGACTTTACCGAAAGAACCAAGAATAATAATTGTATTGTTTTAAGAACCAGAATATGAATCACTGCAGTCAAGAAAGCTTTAAATCAAAAGTTGTTGTTGTTGTTGACGTGGCTGCTGTTGTTGTTGTTGACGTGGCTGCTGTTGTTGTTGTTGCTGTTGTTGTTGTTGTGGTTGTTGTTGTTGTTGACGTGGCTGCTGTTGTTGTTGTTGACGTGGCTGCTGTTGTTGTTGTTGACGTGGTTGTTGTTGCTGTTGTTGTTGACGTGGTTGTTGTTGTTGTTGACGTGGTTGCTGTTGTTGTTGTTGACGTGTCCCCAGAGCACGCTGATCAACTGGACCAAGGGCTTCAACGCTACCGGCGTGGAGGGGAGAGACGTTGTGCAGCTGCTGAGAGAGGCGATCAAGAGGCGTGGGGTGAGGTGTAGCAGAGACTCGGGGTGTAGTAGAGACTCGGGGTGTAGTGAGACTCGGGGTGTAGTAGAGACTCGGGTGTAGCAGAGACTCAGGGTGTAGCAGAGACTCGGGGTGTAGCGAGACTCGGGTGTAGCAGAGACTCGGTGTAGCAGAGACTCAGGTTGTAGTGGAGACTCAGGGTGTAGTGGAGACTCAGGGTGTAGCAGAGACTCAGGGTGTAGTAGAGACTCAGGGTGTAGCAGAGACTCAGGGTCTAGTAGAGACTCGGGTGTAGCGGAGACTCGGGGTGTAGCAGAGACTCAGGGTGTAGCAGAGACTCGGGGTGTAGCAGAGACTCAGGGTGTAGCGGAGACTCGGGTGTAGCAGAGACTCAGGGTGTAGCAGAGACTCGGGGTGTAGCGGAGACTCGGGGTGTAGTGGAGACTCGGGGTGTAGCGGAGACTCAGGGTGTAGCAGAGACTCAGGGTGTAGTAGAGACTCGGGGTGTAGCAGACTCGGGGTGTAGCAGAGACTCGGGGTGTAGCAGAGACTCGGGGTGTAGCAGAGACACGGGTGTAGCAGAGACTCAGGTTGTAGTAGAGACTCGGGGTGTAGAGACTCAGGGTATAGAGACTCAGGGTGTAGAGACTCAGGGTCTAGTAGAGACTCGGGGTGTAGTAGAGACTCAGGGTAGTAGAGACTCAGGGTGTAGTAGAGTCTCAGGGTGTAGCAGAGACTCAAGGTGTAGAGACTCAGGGTGTAGAGACTCGGGTGTAGCAGAGACTCGGGGTGTAGTAGAGACTCGGGGTGTAGCGGAGACTCGGGGTGTAGCAGAGACTCAGGGTGTAGCGGAGACTCAGGTGTAGCAGAGACTCGGGGTGTAGCAGAGACTCAGGGTGTAGTGGAGACTCGGGGTAGCAGAGACTCAGGTTGTAGTGGAGACTCAGGGTGTAGCAGAGACTCAGGGTGTAGTAGAGACTCAGGGTGTAGTAGAGACTCAGGGTCTAGTAGAGACTCAGGGTCTAGTAGAGACTCAGGGTGTAGCAGAGACTCAGGGTGTAGTGGAGACTCGGGGTGTAGTAGAGACTCAGGATGTAGTAGAGACTCAGGTGTAGCAGAGACTCAGGGTGTAGCAGAGACTCAGGGTGTAGTAGAGACTCAGGGTCTAGTAGAGACTCGGGGTGTAGCAGAGACTCAGGGTGTAGTAGAGACTCAGGGTGTAGTAGAGACTCGGGGTAGTAGAGGCTCGGGGTGTAGCAGAGACTCGGGGTCTAGTAGAGACTCAAGGTGTAGCAGAGACTCGGGGTGTAGTAGAGGCACGGGGTGTAGTAGAGTCTCAGGGTGTAGTAGAGACTCAGGGTGTAGTAGAGTCTCAGGGTGTAGTAGAGACTCAGGGTGTAGTAGAGACTCAGGGTCTAGTAGAGGCACGGGGTGTAGTAGTCTCAGGGTATATAGAGACTCGGGTCTAGTAGAGTCTCGGGCTGTAGTAGAGACTCAGGGTGTAGTAGAGACTCGGGGTGTAGTAGACTCGGGTGTAGCAGAGACTCGGGTGTAGTAGAGACTCAGAGTGTAGTAGAGACTCAGGGTGTAGCAGAGACTCAGGGTGTAGTAGAGACTCAGGGTGTAGTAGAGACTCAGGGTCTAGTAGAGACTCAGGGTGTAGTAGAGACTCGGAGTGTAGCAGAGACTCGGGTGTAGTAGAGTCTCAGGGTGTAGTAAGACTCAGGGTCTAGAGTCTCAGGGTGTAGTAGAGACTCAGGGTCTAGTAGAGACTCGGGGTGTAGTAGATACTCGGGGTGTAGCAGAGACTCTAGGTGTACTAGAGACTCAGGGTGTAGCAGAGACTCAGGGTGTAGCAGAGACTCAGGGTGTAGTAGAGACTCGGGGTGTAGTAGAGACTCAGGGTGTAGTAGAGACTCAGGGTGTAGTAGATACTTGGGGTGTAGTTGAGACTCAGGGTGTAGAGACTCAGGGTGTAGTAGAGACTGAGGGTGTAGAGACTCAGGGCCTAGTAGAGACTCAAGGTGTAGTAGAGACTCAAGGTGTAGCAGAGACTCAGGGTGTAGCAGAGACTCAGGGTGTAGTAGAGACTCGGTGTGTAGTAGAGACTCAGAGTGTAGTAGAGACTCGGGTGTAGTTGAGACTCAGGTGTAGAGACTCAGGGTGTAGTAGAGACTCAGGGTGTAGTAGAGACTCAAGGTCTAGCAGAGACTCAGGGTGTAGAGACTCAAGTCTAGAGTCTCAGGGTCTAGTAGAGTCTCAGGGTCTAGTAGAGACTCAGGGTGTAGTAGAGTCAGGTGTAGCAGAGACTCAGGGTGTAGCAGAGACTCGGGGTGTAATAGAAACTCCGGGTGTAGCAGAGACTCGGGGTGTAGTAGAGACTCAGGGTGTAGCAGAGACTCAGGGTGTAGCAGAGACTCAGGGTAGTAGAGACTCAGGTGTAGTAGAGACTCGGGGTGTAGTAGAGACTCGGGTAGTAGAGACTCAGGTCTAGAGTCTCAGGGTGTAGCAGAGACTCAGGGCCTAGTAGAGTCTCAGGGTGTAGCAGAGACTCAGGGCCTAGTAGAGTCTCAGGGTGTAGCAGAGACTCAGGGTGTAGTAGAGTCTCGGGGTGTGGTAGAGTCTCAGGGTGTAGTAGAGTCTCAGGGTGTAGTAGAGACTCAGGGTCTATAGTCTCAGGGTGTAGCAGAGACTCAGCGTGTAGTAGACTCAGGGTCTAGAGTCTCGGGGTGTAGTAGAGTCTCAGGGTGTAGTAGAGTTTCAGGGTGTAGTAGAGACTCAGGGTCTAGCAGAGACTCAGGGTGTAGTAGAGACTCAGGGTCTAGAGTCTCAGGGTGTAGTAGAGTCTCAGGTCTAGTAGAGACTCAGGTGTAGTAGAGACTCAGGGTCTAGTAGAGACTCAGGGTCTAGTAGAGTCTCAGGGTCTAGTAGACTCAGGGTCTAGTAGAGTCTCAGGGTCTAGTAGAGACTCAGGGTGTAGTAGAGACTCAGGGTGTAGCAAGACTCAGGGTGTAGCAGAGACTCAGGGTCTAGTAGAGACTCAGGGTGTAGTAGAGACTCAGGGTCTAGTAGAGTCGCAGGGCGTAGAGACTCAGGGTGTAGTAGAGACACGGGTGTAGTAAGGCACGGGTGTAGTAGAGTCCAGGGTCTAGTAGAGTCTCAGGGTCTAGTAGAGTCTCAGGGCGTAGAGACTCAGGGTGTAGTAGAGACTCAGGATGTAGTAGAGACTCAGGGTGTAGTAGAGACTCAGGGTGTAGCAGAGACTTGGGGTCTGGAGACTCAGGTGTCACAGAGACTCAGGGTCTAGAGTCTAAGGGTGTAGAGACTCAGGGTCTAGAGACTCGGGGTGTAGTAGAGACTCAGGGTCTAGAGTCTCAGGGTGTAGCAGAGACTCAGGTCTAGTAGAGTCTCAGAGTGTAGCAGAGACTCAGGGTCTAGTAGAGTCTCAGGGTCTAGTAGAGACTCAGGGCGTAGAGACTCAGGGTGTAGCAGAGACTCGGGTGTAATAGAGACTCCGGGTGTAGCAGAGACTCAGGGTAGCAGAGACTCAGGGTGTAGCAGAGACTCGGGGTGTAATAGAGACTCGGGGTGTAGCAGAGACTCGGGGTGTAGTAGAGACTCAGGATGTAGTAGAGACTCAGGGTGTAGCAGAGACTCAGGGTGTAGCAGAGACTCAGGGTGTAGTAGAGACTCAGGGTGTAGCAGAGACTCGGGTGTAGTAGAGACTCGGGTGTAGAGACTCAGGGTATAGAGACTCAGGGTGTAGAGACTCAGGGCCTAGTAGAGACTCGGGGTGTAGCAGAGACTCAGGGTGTAGTAGAGACTCAGGGTGTAGTAAGACTCGGGGTGTAGTAGAAGCTCGGGGTGTAGCAGAGACTCGGGTCTAGTAGAGACTCAAGGTGTAGCAGAGACTCGGGTGTAGTAGAGGCACGGGGTGTAGTAGAGTCTCAGGGTGTAGTAGAGACTCAGGGTGTAGTAGAGTCTCAGGGTGTAGTAGAGACTCAGGGTGTAGTAGAGACTCAGGGTCTAGTAGAGGCACGGGTGTAGTAGAGTCTCAGGGTATAGTAGAGACTCGGGGTCTAGTAGAGTCTCGGGCTGTAGTAGAGACTCAGGGTGTAGTAGAGACTCGGGTGTAGTAGAGACTCGGGGTGTAGCAGAGACTCGGGTGTAGTAGAGACTCAGAGTGTAGTAGAGACTCAGGGTGTAGCAGAGACTCAGGGTGTAGTAGAGACTCAGGGTGTAGTAGAGACTCAGGGTCTAGTAGAGACTCAGGGTGTAGTAGAGACTCGGAGTGTAGCAGAGACTCGGGGTGTAGTAGAGTCTCAGGGTGTAGTAAGACTCAGGGTGTAGTAGAGACTCAGGGTAGTAGAGACTCAGGGTCTAGAGTCTCAGGGTGTAGTAGAGACTCAGGGTCTAGTAAGACTCGGGTGTAGTAGATACTCGGGTGTAGCAGAGACTCTAGGTGTACTAGAGACTCAGGGTGTAGCAGAGACTCAGGGTGTAGCAGAGACTCAGGGTGTAGTAGAGACTCGGGGTGTAGTAGAGACTCAGGGTGTAGTAGAGACTCAGGGTGTAGTAGATACTTGGGGTGTAGTTGAGACTCAGGGTGTAGAGACTCAGGGTGTAGTAGAGACTCAGGGTGTAGAGACTCAGGGCCTAGTAGAGACTCAAGGTGTAGTGAGACTCAAGGTGTAGCAGAGACTCAGGGTGTAGCAGAGACTCAGGTGTAGTAGAGACTCGGTGTGTAGTAGAGACTCAGAGTGTAGTAGAGACTCGGGGTGTAGTTGAGACTCAGGGTGTAGAGACTCAGGTGTAGTAGAGACTCAGGGTGTAGTAGAGACTCAAGGTCTAGCAGAGACTCAGGGTGTAGAGACTCAAGGTCTAGAGTCTCAGGGTCTAGTAGAGTCTCAGGGTCTAGTAGAGACTCAGGGTGTAGTAGAGACTCAGGGTGTAGCAGAGACTCAGGGTGTAGCAGAGACTCGGGGTGTAATAGAGACTCCGGGTGTAGCAGAGACTCGGGTGTAGTAGAGACTCAGGTGTAGTAGAGACTCAGGGTGTAGCAGAGACTCGGGGTGTAGTAGAGACTCGGGTGTAGTAGAGACTCAGGGTCTAGAGTCTCAGGGTGTAGCAGAGACTCAGGGCCTAGTAGAGTCTCAGGGTGTAGCAGAGACTCAGGGCCTAGTAGAGTCTCAGGGTGTAGCAGAGACTCAGGGTGTAGTAGAGTCTCGGGGTGGTAGAGTCTCAGGGTGTAGTAAGTCTCAGGGTGTAGTAGAGACTCAGGGTCTAGAGTCTCAGGGTGTAGCAGAGACTCAGCGTGTAGTAGAGACTCAGGGTCTAGAGTCTCGGGTGTAGTAGAGTCTCAGGGTGTAGTAGAGTTTCAGGGTGTAGTAGAGACTCAGGGTCTAGCAGAGACTCAGGGTGTAGTAGAGACTCAGGGTCTAGAGTCTCAGGGTGTAGTAGAGTCTCAGGGTCTAGTAGAGACTCAGGGTGTAGTAGAGACTCAGGGTCTAGTAGAGACTCAGGGTCTAGTAGAGTCTCAGGGTCTAGTAGAGACTCAGGGTCTAGTAGAGTCTCAGGGTCTAGTAGAGACTCAGGTGTAGTAGAGACTCAGGGTGTAGCAGAGACTCAGGGTGTAGCAGAGACTCAGGGTCTAGTAGAGACTCAGGGTGTAGTAGAGACTCAGGGTCTAGTAGAGTCTCAGGGTCTAGTAGAGACTCAGGGTGTAGCAGAGACTCAGGGTGTAGCAGAGACTCAGGGTCTAGTAGAGACTCAGGGTCTAGTAGAGTCGCAGGGTGTAGAGACTCAGGGTGTAGTAGAGACACGGGTGTAGTAGAGGCACGGGTGTAGTAGAGTCTCAGGGTCTAGTAGAGTCTCAGGGTCTAGTAGAGTCTCAGGGCGTAGAGACTCAGGGTGTAGTAGAGACTCGGGGTGTATAGAGGCACGGGGTGTAGTAGAGTCTCAGGGTCTAGTAGAGTCTCAGGGTCTAGTAGAGACTCAGGGTGTAGTAGAGACTCAGGGTGTAGCAGAGACTTGGGGTCTGGAGACTCAGGTGTCACAGAGACTCAGGGTCTAGAGTCTAAGGGTGTAGAGACTCAGGGTCTAGAGACTCGGGTATAGTAGAGACTCAGGGTCTAGAGTCTCAGGGTGTAGCAGAGACTCAGGGTCTAGTAGAGTCTCAGGGTGTAGCAGAGACTCAGGGTCTAGTAGAGTCTCAGAGTGTAGCAGAGACTCAGGGTCTAGTAGAGTCTCAGGGTGTAGTAGAGACTCGGGGTGTATAGAGACTCAGGGTGTAGTAGAGACTCAGGGTCTAGTAGAGACTCAGGGTCTAGTGGAGACTCAGGGTGTAGTAGAGACTCAGGGTCTAGTAGAGACTCAGGGTGTAGTAGAGACTCAGGGTCTAAAGTCTCAGGGTGTAGCAGAGACTCAGGGTGTAGCAGAGACTCAGGGTGTAGTAGAGACTCGGGGTGTAGCAGAGACTCAGGGTGTAGCAGAGACTCGGGGTAGAGGGACCGCGGCGGTGACCTGTGTCTGTCCCGCTGTCCGCGTGCGTCAGGACTATGACGTGGACGTGGTGGCGGTGGTGAACGACACAGTGGGCACCATGATGACATGCGGCTACGAAGACCCCAACTGCGAGATCGGACTCATCGTGGGTGAGTACTCGTACTGGTACCTGGGTGAGTACTCGTACTGGTACCTGGGTGAGTACTCGTCCTGGTACCTGGTGAGTACTCGTACTGGTACCTGGGTGAGTGCTCGTCCTGGTCCCTGGGTGAGTACTCGTACTGGTACCTGGGTGAGTACTCGTACTGGTACCTGGGTGAGTACTCGTACTGGTACCTGGGTGAGTACTCGTACTGGTACCTGGGTGAGTACTCGTACTGGTACCTGGGTGAGTACTCGTCCTGGTACCTGGGTGAGTACTCGTACTGGTACCTGGGTGAGTACTCGTACTGGTACCTGGGTGAGTACTCGTACTGGTCCCTGGGTGAGTACTCGTACTGGTACCTGGGTGAGTACTCGTACTGGTACCTGGGTGAGTACTCGTACTGGTACCTGGGTGAGTACTCGTACTGGTACCTGGGTGAGTACTCGTCCTGGAACCTGGGTGAGTACTCGTCCTGTACCTGGGTGAGTACTCGTACTGGTACCTGGGTGAGTACTCGTCCTGGTACCTGGGTGAGTACTCGTCCTGGTACCTGGGTGAGTACTCGTCCTGGTCCCTGGGTGAGTACTCGTACTGGTACCTGGGTGAGTACTCGTACTGGTACCTGGGTGAGTACTCGTCCTGGTCCCTGGGTGAGTACTCGTACTGGTACCTGGGTGAGTACTCGTCCTGGTACCTGGGTGAGTACTCGTACTGGTACCTGGGTGAGTACTCGTACTGGTACCTGGGTGAGTACTCGTCCTGGTACCTGGGTGAGTACTCGTACTGGTACCTGGGTGAGTACTCGTACTGGTACCTGGGTGAGTACTCGTCCTGGTACCTGGGTGAGTACTCGTACTGGTACCTGGGTGAGTACTCGTACTGGTACCTGGGTGAGTACTCGTCCTGGTACCTGGGTGAGTACTCACCGGGTGGGCACTGGTCCCCGCGCAGTGCCCCCGTTCAGAGGCACGCGGGAGACGGCGTGGAGGCAACGTCCTCTCTTCGTCGGCAGCCCCGCCTGGCCTATTAAGACCCGAAATGGTTCATCAAATCTTTCCAATGATTGCTAAGCCAGAACCCATCTTCTCGGTTGAAATTGTCTCTGTGCTTGTATACGTGGATAGCCTCATGAACGAATCTGGCTTAGCAATCATTGGAAAGATTTGATGAACCATTTCAGGTCTTAATTGATTGTTCACGCTTACGGTGGCTTTCAGACAGCATACATTAAATTTCTCGTCTCCCCCCCTCCTCTTCTCAGAACATAGATGGACTCGTCCTTCTAAATAACTGCTAAATCGCTGCGCATGGCGCTGACGTTTTTGATAAATAGATAAATACACCGTTTAAAAATAAATAAATTAACACAAACCGACACACCTGATGACGACCGTTTGTGTTACGGTCGAAACGTCGTGAGAATTTTTTTAATCGTTTTATATATATTTTTTATTATTTTTTTTATTGTTTCCCTTCGACGTGGTGGTGACTTTACCAAAAGAACCAAGAATAATAATTTTATTGTTTTACAATAATTTTATTGTTTTATATTTTTATTATTTTATTGTTTCCCTTCGACGTGGTGGTGACTTTACCGAAAGAACCAAGAATAATATTTTATTGTTTTACAATAATTTTATTGTTTTACATTTTTATTATTTTATTGTTTCCCTTCGACGTGGTGGTGACTTTACCAAAGAACCAAATAATAATTTTATTGTTTTACAATAATTTTATTGTTTTATATTTTTATTATTTTATATTGTTGCCCTTCGACGTGGTGGCGACTTTACCGAAAGAGCTAAGAGTACGAATTGCTGCAGTCACGAAAAGCCTTAAATCAAAATCCCGCCCTGACCTGTTTGGGGGTCCCGTTTATTGTCCCGGCGCAGGGAGCTCCGTCCGCCCCTTTCCACGCCCTCGCTCCCCACACAGGCCGGCTTCACGTATCCACCGATGCCACTGCACCTGTAACTTACACTCGTACTCGCCTGGACCAGGCCCCATACCGGCCTCTGCACCAGGCCTTGTACCAGGCCTCAAACCAGGCCCCGTACCAGGCCCCAAACCAGGCCTCACACCAGGCCTCACAGCAGGCCTCACACCAGGCCTTGTACCAGGCCTCACACCAGGCCTCACACCAGGCCCCGTACCAGGCCTCACACCAGCCTCACACCAGGCCTCACACCAGGCCCCGTACCAGGCCTCACACCAGGCCTCACACCAGGCCTCACACCAGGCCTCACACCAGGCCTCACACTAGGCCTCACACCAGGCCTCGTACCAGGCCTCACACTAGGCCTCACACCAGGCCTCACACAGGGCCTCAAACCGGCCTCGTACCAGGCCTCACAGCAGGCCTCACACCAGGGCCTCACACTAGGCCTCACACCAGGCCCCGTACCAGGCCTCACACCAGGCCTCACACCAGGCCTCACACCAGGCCTCACACCAGGCCCCGTACCAAGCCTCACACCAGGCCTCACACCAGGCTCCGTACCAGGCCTCACACCAGGCCTCACACCAGGCCTCATACCAGGCCCAATCTTGACTCTGACCCTGAGTCCCAGTCTCGTGTCTCCGTGTGCGTGGTGATGGGGATGATGGTGATGATGGTGATGGTGGTGATGATGATGGTGGTGATGGTGGTGGTGGTGATGGTGATGATGGTGGTGGTGATGGTGGTGGTGGTGGTGGTGATGATGGTGATGATGATGGTGGTGATGATGATGGTGGTGATGATGATGGTGGTCGTGATGATGATGGTGATGTTGATGATAATGGTGGTGGTGATGATGATGGTGATAATGGATGTTGATGATGGTGGCGATGTTGATGATAATGTTGATGACGTTGATGATAATGGTGGTGGTGGCGATGGTGATGATGTTGATGACAATGGTGGTGGTGATGTTGATGATGATGGTGATGTTGATGATGATGGTGGCGATGTTGATGATAATGTTGATGACGTTGATGATAATGGTGGTGGCGGCGATGGTGATGATGTTGATGATGATGGTGATGTTGATGATGGTGGTGATGATGGCGGCGATGGTGATGATGATAATGGTGGTGGTGATGTTGATGATGACGTTGATGACAATGGCGGTGGTGGCGATGGTGATGATGTTTATGATGGTGGCGATGTTGATGATGATGGTGGCGATGATGATGGTGATGTTGATGATGATGGTGGCGATGTTGATGATGTTAATGTTGATGACGTTGATGACAGTGGTGGTGGTGGCGATGTTGATGATAATGTTGATGATGTTGATGATAATGATGGTGGTGATGATGATGGTGATTGTTGATGATAATGGTGGTGGTGATGTTGATGATAACGTTGATGACGTTGATGACAATGGTGGTGGCGATGGTGACGATGTTGATGATGGTGGCGATGTTGATGATGATGGTGGCGATGTTGATGATAATGTTGATGACGTTGATGATAATGGTGGTGGTGGCGATGGTGATGATGTTGATGATGGTGATGTTGATGGTGATGTTGATGACAATGGTGGTGGTGGCGATGGTGATGATGTTGATGACAATGGTGGCGATGATGATGGTGGTGGCGATGTTGATGATAATGTTGATAACGTTAATGACAATGGTGGTGGTGGCGATGGTGATGATGTTGATGATGATGGTGATGATGATGATGGTGGCGACGTTGATGATAATGTTGATGATGTTGATGATAATGGTGGTGGTGATGATAATGGTGGTGGTGATGATAATGGTGGTGGTGATGTTGATGATAACGTTGATGACGTTGATGACAATGGCGGTGGTGGCGATGGTGATGATGTTGACGATGATGGTGACGTTGATGATAATGGTGGTGGTGGCGATGGTGACGATGTTTATGATGGTGGCGATGTTGATGATGATGGTGGCGATGTTGATGATGATGTTGATGGTGGCGATGGTGATGATGTTGATGACAATGGTGGTGGTGGCGATGGTGATGATGTTGATGACAATGGTGGCGATGATGATGATGGTGGCGATGTTGATGATAATGTTGATGACGTTGATGATAATGGTGGTGGTGGCGATGATGATGGTGGCGATGTTGATGATAATGTTGATGACGTTGATGATAATGGTGGTGGTGATGATGATGGTGATGATGTTGATGATAATGGTGGTGGTGATGTTGATGATAACGTTGATGACGTCGATGACAATGGTGGCGGTGGCGATGGTGATGATGTTGATGGCGATGTTGATGATGATGGTGGCGATGTTGATGATAATGTTGATGACGTTGATTAAATGATGGTGGTGACGTTGATGATAACGTTGATGACGTTGATGACAATGGTGATGGTGGCGATGTTGATGATGATGGAGTCGATGTTGATGACGGCTATGTTGATGATGATGATGTTGATGGTGGCGATGTTGATGATGGTGGTGGTGGCTGCGCCAGGCACGGGCAGCAACGCGTGCTACATGGAGGAGATGAGCAACGTGGAGCTGGTGGAGGGGGACGAGGGACGGATGTGCATCAACACGGAGTGGGGCGGATTCGGAGACGACGGAGCCCTGGACGACATCCGCACCGAGTTTGACCGCGCCGTAGACGCCGGCTCCCTCAACCCGGGGAAGCAAACGTACGGCTCCCGGCCCCGGCACCGTGGAGTGGGCCCACTCCCCGCCCCCCCCCCAAACACACGCCTCGGTGGTGGTGGTTGCGATGAAAGTGGTGGTGGTGGTGGTGGTGGAGGTGGTGGTGGTGGTGGAGGTGGTGGTGGTGGTGGTGGAGGTGGTGGTGGTGGCGGTGGTGGTGGTGTGGCGGTGGTGGCGGTGGTGGTGGTGGTGGCGGTGGTGGCGGTGGTGGTGGTGGTGGCGGTGGTGGTGGTGGTGGTGGCGGTGGTGGTGGTGGAGGTGGTGGCGGTGGTGGTGGTGGTGGCGGTGGCGGTGGTGGTGGTGGTGGTGGCGGTGGTGGTGGTGGCGGTGGTGGAGGTGCAGGTGGTGGTGGCGAGCTGGTGATAGTATGATGATGATGGTGATGGTCGTGATGATGATCACATGATGATGATCACATGATGATGATCACATGATGATGATGATGGTGATGATGATGGTGATGTATCTCTCTCTGTGTGCATCTACCCCAGCTTTGAGAAGATGACGAGTGGCATGTACATGGGTGAGCTGGTCCGCCACACCCTCCTCAAGCTCTCCTCCCTCGGAGTGATCTTCTGCGGTCAGGACGTGACGGACATCCTCACCCCGGGCAGCTTCCTCACCAGCTACGTGTCGACCATAGAGCGGTGAGCCGCGCTCACCCCCCAACACGCTCACCCCCCCAACACGCTCACCCCCCCAACACGCTCACCCCCCCAACCGCTCACCCCCCAACACGCTCACCCCCCCAACACGCTCACCCCCCCCAACACGCTCACCCCCCCAACACGCTCACCCCCCCAACACGCTCACCCCCCCAACACGCTCACCCCCCCAACACGCTCACCCCCCAACACGCTCACCCCCCCCCAACACGCTCACTCCCCCAACACGCTCACCCCCCCCAACACGCTCACCCCCCCAACACGCTCACCCCCCCAACACGCTCACCCCCCCAACACGCTCACCCCCCCAACACGCTCACCCCCCAACACGCTCACTCCCCCAACACGCTCACCCCCCCAACACGCTCACCCCCCCCCAACACGCCTCACCCCCCCAACACGCTCACCCCCCCACACGCTCACCCCCCCAACACGCTCACCCCCCCAACACGCTCACCCCCCCAACACGCTCACCCCCCCAACACGCTCACCCCCCCAACACGCTCACCCCCCCCAACACGCTCACCCCCCCCCAACACGCTCACCCCCCCAACACGCTCACCCCCCCAACACGCTCACCCCCCCAACACGCTCACCCCCCCAACACGCTCACCCCCCCAACACGCTCACACCCCCCAACACGCTCACTCCCCCAACACGCTCACCCCCCCCAACACGCTCACCCCCCCAACACGCTCACCCCCCCAACACGCTCACCCCCCCAACACGCTCACCCCCCCAACACGCTCACCCCCCCAACACGCTCACCCCCCCAACACGCTCACCCCCCCAACACGCTCACCCCCCCAACACGCTCACCCCCCCACACGCTCACCCCCCCAACACGCTCACCCCCCCAACACGCTCACCCCCCCAACACGCTCACCCCCCCAACACGCTCACCCCCCCAACACGCTCACCCCCCAACACGCTCACCCCCCCCAACACGCTCACCCCCCCAACACGCTCACCCCCCCAACACGCTCACCCCCCCAACACGCTCACCCCCCCAACACGCTCACCCCCCCCAACACGCTCACCCCCCCAACACGCTCACCCCCCCAACACGCTCACCCCCCCCAACACGCTCACCCCCCCAACACGCTCACCCCCCCAACACGCTCACCCCCCAACACGCTCACCCCCCCCAACACGCTCACCCCCCCAACACGCTCACCCCCCCAACACGCTCACCCCCCCCAAACGCTCACCCCCCCAACACGCTCACCCCCCCAACACGCTCACCCCCCCAACACGCTCACCCCCCCAACACGCTCACCCCCCCAACACGCTCACCCCCCCAACACGCTCACCCCCCCCAACACGCTCACCCCCCCAACGCTCACCCCCCCAACACGCTCACCCCCCCAACACGCTCACCCCCCCAACACGCTCACCCCCCCCAACACGCTCCCCCCCAACCGCTCACCCCCCCAACACGCTCACCCCCCCAACACGCTCACCCCCCCAACCACTCACCCCCCCAACACGCTCACCCCCCCAACACGCTCACCCCCCCAACACGCTCACCCCCCAACACTCTCACCCCCCCAACACGCTCACCCCCCCAACACGCTCACCCCCCCAACACACTCACGGCACAACGGAGACCCACTAAAGGCTCAGGCCTGAGACACGTAGATCACAGCAGCTCGCTCACTCACTCACTCACCCACCCACTCACTCACTCACCCACTCACTCACTCACCCACCCACTCACTCACTCACTCCCCTCCTCTCCTCTCCTCCACCTCCCTCCCTCTCCTCCCTCCCCTACCTCTCCTCCCCTCCCTCTCCTCCCTCTCCTCCCTCCCTCCCTCCCTCTCCTCCCTCCCTCCTCCCTCCCTCCCTCTCCTCCCTCCCTCTCCTCCCTCCCTCCATCTCCTCCCTCCCTCCCCTCTCCTCCCTCCCTCTCCTCCCTCCCTCTCCTCCCTCCCCCCCTCCCCCCCCTCCCCGCCTCCCCCCTCCCCCCCTCCCCCCCTACCCCCCCCCTACCCCCCTACCCCCCCCCTACAGCGAGGAGGACCCTTGCCACCCGCGCTGCGTCTCCATCCTGAGCTCGCTGGGCGTGCGAGCGGCGACCGCGGGCGACGCCGGCCGCGTCCGCCACGCCTGCCGCGTCGTCTCGGCCCGCGCCGCCGCTCTGACCGCCGCGGCGCTCAGCGCCCTCGTGGGCCGCGTCCGGCGGAGCGGCCGGCACCACGTGGGAGAAGGCCCCCAACACCACCACCACCAGCACCACCAGCATCACCACGACCAGCGGCACCACGTGGGAGAAGGCCCCCAACACCAGCACCACCAGCACCAGCACCACCACGACCACGACCAGCGGCACCACGTGGGAGAAGGCCCCCACCACCACCAGCACCAGCACACAACCACGACCAGCGGCACCACGTGGGAGAAGGCCCCCACCACCACCAGCACCACGTGGGAGAAGGCCAGCACCCACCACCACCACCACGACCACGACCAGCGGCACCACGTGGGAGAAGGCCCCCAACACCACCACCAGCACCACGACCACGACCAGCGGCACCACGTGGGAGAAGGCCAGCACCACGACCAGCGGCACCACGTGGGAGAAGGCCCCCACCAACAGCACCACGTGGGAGAAGGCCCCCACCAACAGCACCACGTGGGAGAAGGCCCCCACCACCACCAGCACCACCAGCACCACGACCGGCACGGTGGGAGCGGGCGACTGGTGACGACCGTGGCGGTGGACGGCAGCGTCTACAACACCACCCCACGTGAGGGAGAGACGGGCACCGGGAGGGGGACGGGGGGACACGGGCACAGAGAGACACACAGAGACACACACTCATAGAGACCCACAGAGACCCCACTCACAGAGACCCACACTCACAGAGAGACACAGAGACCCACAGAGATACACAGAGACCCACACTCACAGAGACCGACACTCACAGAGACCCGCACACACAGAGACTCACAGACACACAGAGACCCACAGAGACCCACAGAGACCCACAGAGACCCACAGAGACCTACACAGACCCACAGAGACACACAGAGACCCACAGAGACACACAGAGACCCACACACACCGAGACCCACACTCACAGAGACACACAGAGAGACCCACACTCACAGAGACCCACAGAGACCCACAGAGACACACAGAGACACACAGAGACACACAGAGACACACAGAGACCCACAGAGACCCACACACAGAGACCCACAGAGACCCACAGAGACCTACACAGACCCAGAGACACACGAGACCCACAGAGACACACAGAGACCCACAGACACACAGAGACCCACAGAGACCCACAGAGACCCACACAGACACACACACAGAGACCCACAGAGACTCACAGAGACCCACAGAGACCCACAGAGACACACAGACCCACAGAGACCCACAGAGACCCACAGAGACACACAGAGACCCACAGAGACCCATGCTCATAGAGACCCACAGAGACACACAGAGACACACAGAGACCCACAGAGACCCACACTCACAGAGACCCACAGAGACCCACAGAGACCCAGAGACCCACGCTCATAGAGACCCACAGAGACCCACACTCTCAGAGACCCACAGAGACCCACAGAGACCCACACCCACAGAGACACACACACACAGAGACACACAGAGACCCACAGAGACCCACACTCACAGAGACCCACAGAGACCCACAGAGACCCACACACACAGAGACCCACAGAGACCCACAGAGACCCACACACACACAGACCCACAGAGACCCACACACACAGACCCACACTCACAGAGACCCACACTCACAGAGACCCACAGAGACCCACACACACAGAGACCCACAGAGACCCACACACACAGAGACCCACACTCACAGAGACCCACAGAGACCCACAGAGACCCACACCCACAGAGACCCACAGAGACCCACAGAGACCCACACTCACAGAGACACACAGAGACCCACAGAGACCCACACACACAGAGACCCACAGAGACCCACAGAGACCCACACTCACAGAGACCCACAGAGACCCACACTCACAGAGACCCACAGAGACACACAGAGACACACAGAGAACACACACACAGAGACCCACAGAGACACACACACACAGAGACCCACAGAGACCCACACTCACAGAGACCCACAGAGACACACAGAGACCCACAGAGACTCACACTCACAGAGACTCACACACACAGAGACCCACAGAGACCCACAGACTCAATCCTCTCCCCCCACCACACCCCCCCACCACCACCACCCCCCACCACCACCACCCCCACCCACCCCACACCGCAGCTTCTCCGCTCTGCTCCAGTCGACGCTCCGTCGCCTCGCCCCCGATTTCGACCTCCGCTTTGCCCGCTCGGAGGACGGCAGCGGCAAGGGAGCGGCCAGACACACAGAGACCCACACTCACAGAGACCCACACTCACAGAGACCCACACTCACAGAGACCCACACTCACAGAGACCCACACTCACAGAGACCCACACTCACAGAGACCCACACACACAGAGACCCACACTCACAGAGACCCACACTCACACAGACCCACAGAGACCCACACTCACAGAGACCCACACCCACAGAGACCCACAGAGACCCACACCCACAGAGACCCACACTCACAGAGACCCACACAGACCCACACACACAGAGACCCACAGAGACTCACACCCACAGAGACTCACAGAGACCCACAGAGACCCACACTCACAGAGACTCACAGAGACTCACACACACAGAGACTCACAGAGACCCACAGAGACTCACACTCACAGAGACCCACACTCACAGAGACCCACACCCACAGAGACCCACACTCACAGAGACCCACACACACAGAGACCCACACTCACAGAGACTCACAGAGACCCACACTCACAGAGACCCACAGAGACCCACACTCACAGAGACCCACACTCACAGAGACCCACACTCACAGAGACTCACAGAGACCCACACTCACAGAGACCCACAGAGACCCACACTCACAGAGACCCACACTCACAGAGACCCACACTCACAGAGACCCACACTCACAGAGACTCACAGAGACCCACACTCACAGAGACCCACACTCACAGAGACCCACACTCACAGAGACTCACAGAGACCCACACTCACAGAGACCCACAGAGACCCACACTCACAGAGACCCACACTCACAAGACCCACACACAGAGACCCACACTCACAGAGACTCACAGAGACCCACACTCACAGAGACCCACACTCACAGAGACCCACACACACAGAGACCCACACTCACAGAGACTCACAGAGACCCACACTCACAGAGACCCACAGAGACCCACACTCACAGAGACCCACACTCACAGAGACCCACACTCACAGAGACTCACACAGACCCACACTCACAGAGACCCACAGAGACCCACACTCACAGAGACCCACACTCACAGAGACCCACACTCACAGAGACCCACACTCACAGAGACTCACAGAGACCCACACTCACAGAGACCCACACTCACAGACCCACACTCACAGAGACTCACACAGACCCACACTCACAGAGACCCACAGAGACCCACACTCACAGAGACCCACACTCACAGAGACCCACACACACAGAGACCCACACTCACAGAGACTCACAGAGACCCACACTCACAGAGACCCACACTCACAGAGACTCACAGAGACCCACACTCACAGAGACTCACAGAGACCCACACTCACAGAGACCCACACTCACAGAGACCCACACACACAGAGACCCACACTCACAGAGACTCACAGAGACCCACACTCACAGAGACCCACAGAGACCCACACTCACAGAGACCCACACTCACAGAGACCCACACACACAGAGACTCACAGAGACCCACACTCACAGAGACCCACAGAGACCCACACTCACAGAGACCCACACTCACAGAGACCCACACTCACAGAGACCCACACTCACAGAGACTCACAGAGACCCACACTCACAGAGACCCACACTCACAGAGACCCACACTCACAGAGACTCACAGAGACCCACACTCACAGAGACCCACAGAGACCCACACTCACAGAGACCCACACTCACAGAGACCCACACCACACAGAGACCCACACTCACAGAGACTCACAGAGACCCACACTCACAGAGACCCACACTCACAGAGACTCACAGAGACCCACACTCACAGAGACTCACAGAGACCCACACTCACAGAGACCCACACTCACAGAGACCCACACACACAGAGACCCACACTCACGAGACTCACAGAGACCCACACTCACAGAGACCCACAGAGACCCACACTCACAGAGACCCACACTCACAGAGACCCACACTCACAGAGACTCACAGAGACCCACACTCACAGAGACCCACAGAGACCCACATCACAGAGACCCACACTCACAGAGACCCACACTCACAGAGACCCACACTCACAGAGACTCACAGAGACCCACACTCACAGAGACCCACACTCACAGAGACCCACACTCACAGAGACTCACAGAGACCCACACTCACAGAGACCCACAGAGACCCACACTCACAGAGACCCACACTCACAGAGACCCACACACACAGAGACCCACACTCACAGAGACTCACAGAGACCCACACTCACAGAGACCCACACTCACAGAGACTCACAGAGACCCACACTCACAGAGACTCACAGAGACCCACACTCACAGAGACCCACACTCACACAGAGACCCACACACACAGAGACCCACACTCACAGAGACTCACAGAGACCCCACCTCACAGAGACCCACAGAGACCCCACTCACAGAGACCCACACTCACAGAGACCCACACTCACAGAGACTCACAGAGACCACACTCACAGAGACCCACAGAGACCCACACTCACAGAGACCCACACTCACAGAGACCCACACTCACAGAGACCCACACTCCCAGAGACCCACAGAGACCCACACTCACAGAGACCCACACTCACAGAGACCCACACTCATAGAGACCCACAGAGACCACACTCACAGAGACCCACAGAGACCCACACTCACAGAGACCCACACTCACAGAGACCCACACACACAGAGACCCACACTCACAGAGACTCACAGAGACCCACACTCACAGAGACCCACACTCACAGAGACTCACAGAGACCCACACTCACAGAGACTCACAGAGACCCACACTCACAGAGACCCACACTCACAGAGACCCACACTCACAGAGACCCACACTCACAGAGACTCACAGAGACCCACACTCACAGAGACCCAGAGACCCACACTCACAGAGACCCACACTCACAGAGACCCACACTCACAGAGACTCACAGAGACCCACACTCACAGAGACCCACAGAGACCCACACTCACAGAGACCCACACTCACAGAGACCCAGAGACCCACACTCACAGAGACTCACAGAGACCCACACTCACAGAGACCCACACTCACAGAGACTCACAGAGACTCACAGAGACCCATACTCACAGAGACCCACAGAGACCCACACTCACAGAGACCCACACTCACAGAGACCCACACACACAGAGACCCACACTCACAGAGACCCACAGAGACCCACACTCACAGAGACACCACTCACAGAGACTCACAGAGACCCACACTCACAGAGACCCACACCCACAGAGACCCACACTCACAGAGACCCACAAGACCCACACACAGAGACCCACAGAGACCCACACACACAGAGACCCACGCTCACAGAGACCCACACTCACAGAGACCCACACTCACAGAGACTCACAGAGACCCACACTCACAGAGACCCACCCACAGAGACCCACACTCACAGAGACCCACAGAGACCCACACACACAGAGACCCACAGAGACCCACAGAGACCCACACACACAGAGACCCACACTCACAGGGACCCACACTCACAGAGACCCACAGAGACCCACACTCACAGAGACTCACAGAGACCCACAGAGACCCACACACACAGAGACCCACAGAGACCCACACTCATAGAGACCCACACTCACAGAGACCCACACACACAGAGACCCACGCTCACAGAGACCACACTCACAGAGACCCACACTCACAGAGACTCACAGAGACCCACACTCACAGAGACCCACACTCACAGAGACCCACACTCACAGAGACCCACAGAGACCCACACTCACAGAGACTCACACTCACAGAGACTCACAGAGACCCACAGAGACTCACACTCACAGACCCCACTCACAGAGACTCACACACACAGAGACCCACAGACCCACACTCACAGAGACCCACACTCACAGAGACCCACAGAGACCCACACTCACAGAGACCCACAGAGACTCACACACACAGAGACCTACACCCACAGAGACCCACACTCACAGAGACCCACACTCACAGAGACACACAGAGACCCACACACAGAGACCCACAGACTCAATCCTCTCCCCCACTCCCCCCACCACCCCCCCCACTCCCCCCACCACCCACCCCCCACCACTCCCCCACCACTCCCCCCCACCACCCCACCACCACACCGCAGCTTCTCCGCTCTGCTCCAGTCGACGCTCCGTCGCCTCGCCCCCGATTTCGACCTCCGCTTTGCCCGCTCGGAGGACGGCAGCGGCAAGGGAGCGGCCAGACACACAGAGACCCACCTCACAGAGACCCACACTCACAGAGACCCACACTCACAGAGACCCACACTCACAGAGACCCACACTCACAGAGACCCACACTCACAGAGACCCACACACACAGAGACCCACACTCACAGAGACCCACACTCACAGAGACTCACAGAGACCCACACTCACAGAGACCCACACCCACAGAGACCCACAGAGACCCACACTCACAGAGACCCACACTCACAGAGACCCACAGAGACCCACACTCACAGAGACCCACAGAGACTCACACTCACAGAGACTCACAGAGACCCACAGAGACCCACACTCACAGAGACTCACAGAGACTCACACACACAGAGACTCACAGAGACCCACAGAGACCCACACTCACAGAGACCCACACTCACAGAGACCCACACTCACAGAGACCCACACTCACAGAGACCCACACACACAGAGACCCACACTCACAGAGACCCACAGAGACACACACACACAGAGACCCACAGAGACCCACACACACAGAGACCCACACTCACAGAGACCCACACTCACAGAGACTCACAGAGACCCACACTCACAGAGACCCACAGAGACCCACACTCACAGAGACCCACACTCACAGAGACCCACACTCACAGAGACCCACACTCACAGAGACTCACAGAGACCCACACTCACAGAGACCCACACTCACAGAGACCACACTCACAGAGACTCACAGAGACCCACACTCACAGAGACCCACAGAGACCCACACTCACAGAGACCCACACTCACAGAGACCCACACAACAGAGACCCACACTCACAGAGACTCACAGAGACCCACACTCACAGAGACCCACACTCACAGAGACCCACACACACAGAGACCCACACTCACAGAGACTCACAGAGACCCACACTCACAGAGACCCACAGAGACCCACACTCACAGAGACCCACACTCACAGAGACCCACAGAGACCCACACTCACAGAGACCCACACTCACAGAGACCCACACTCACAGAGACCCACACTCACAGAGACTCACACTCACAGAGACCCACACACACAGAGCACACACACACAGAGACTCACACTCACAGAGACTCACACACACAGAGACCCACACTCACAGAGACCCACCACACAGAGACCCACACTCACAGAGACCCACACACACAGAGACTCACACTCACAGAGACCCACACTCACAGAGACCCACACACACAGAGACACACACTCACAGAGACTCACAGAGACCCACACTCACAGAGACCCACACACACAGAGACTCACACTCACAGAGACTCACACACACAGAGACCCACACTCACAGGACTCACACTCACAGAGACCCACACACACAGAGACTCACACTCACGAGACTCACACTCACAGAGACCCACACACACAGAGACTCACACTCACAGAGACTCACAGAGACCCACACTCACAGAGACTCACACTCACAGAGACTCACACTCACAGAGACCCACCCCACAGAGACTCACACTCACAGAGACCCACAGAGACCCACACACAGAGACCCACAGAGACCCACACTCACAGAGACCCCAGAGACCCACACTCACAGAGACCCACACTCACAGAGACCCACACTCACAGAGACCCACACCCACAGAGACTCACACTCACAGAGACCCACAGAGACCCACACAACAGAGACGCACAGAGACCCACACTCATAGAGACCCACAGAGACCCACAGAGACCCACACTCATAGAGACCCACAGAGACCACACTCACAGAGACCCACAGAGACCCACACTCACAGAGACCCACACTTACAGAGACCCACACACACAGAGACCCACAGAGACACACAGAGATACCCACAGAGACCCACACACATAGAGACCCACAGAGACCCACATACTCAATCCTCCCCCCACCACCACCCCCCCACTCCCCCCACCACCCCCCCACCACTCCCCCCCCCACCCACACCGCAGCTTCTCCGCTCTGCTCCAGTCGACGCTCCGTCGCCTCGCCCCCGATTTTCGACCTCCGCTTTGCCCGCTCGGAGGACGGCAGCGGCAAGGGAGCGGCCATGGTGACGGCGGTGGCGGCGAGGCTCGCCGAGCGGCGCCGGCGCCTCGACGCGGCGCTGGCGCCGCTGGCGACGGGCGCCGAGCTCCTGCTCGCAGTCAAGCGGCTCGTGGCCTCGCCATGGCCCGGGGCCTGTCCAGGCCACGCACGAGGGGGCCCCCGTCGCCATGCTGCCCACGTTCGTGCGGCGCACGCCCAGCGGGAGGGGTGCGGGGAGCACGCGGGGAGAGAGAGAGACACGCGGGGAGAGAGAGAGACGCGGGAGAGAGACACGCCAGAGAGAGACACGGAGAGAGAGACACGCCAGAGAGAGATGCAGAGAGAGACACGCAGAGAGAGACACGCAGAGAGAGACACGCAGAGACACGCAGAGAGAGACACGCCAGAGAGACACGCGGAGAGACACGCAGAGACACACGCAGAGACACGGAGAGAGACACCCAGAGAGGCACGCAGAGAGACACACGCGAGAGACTCAGAGACACGCGGAGAGAGAGACACGCCAGAGACGCAGAGAGAGACACGCAGAGACACGCAGAGAGACACGCGGAGAGAGACGCAGACACACGCAGAGAGACTCAGAGACACACGAGAGACACGCAGAGAGACCAACGCAGAGAGACTCAGAGACACGCGGAGAGAGAGACACGCCAGAGAGACACGCGGAGAGAGACGCAGACACACGCAGAGAGACTCAGAGACACACGGAGAGACACGCGGAGAGACACGCAGAGAGACTCAGAGAGACACACACAGAGACACGCAGAGACACGGAGAGACACGCAGACACGCAGAGACACACGGAGACACGCGGAGAGAGACACAGACACACGGAGACACGCAGAGACACACGCAGAGACACGCAGACACGCAGAGAGACACACGCAGAGACACGCAGAGACACACGCAGAGACACACGCAGAGACACGCGCAGACACGCAGACACACGCACACACAGAGACACGCAGAGAGACACACGCAGAGACACGCAGAGAGACACACGCAGAGACACGCAGAGAGACACACGCAGAGAGACACGCGCAGAGAGACAAACGCAGAGACACGCAGACACGCAGAGACATGCGGAGAGACACGGAGAGAGAGACACACACAGAGAGACGCAGAGAGAGACACGCAGAGAGACACGCAGAGACACGGGGAGAGACACAGAGAGACACACGCAGAGAGACACGCAGAGAGACACGCAGAGAGACACGCAGAGAGACACAGAGAGACACGCAGAGAGACACGGAGAGAGACACGCAGACACACGCGGAGAGACACAGAGACACGCAGACGCAGAGAGACACGGAGAGAGACACGCAGAGAGACGCGCAGAGACGCGCAGAGAGACACGCAGAGAGACACACGCAGAGACACACGCAGAGACACGCAGAGAGACACGGAGAGACACACGGAGAGACACGCAGAGACACGCAGAGAGACACGGAGAGAGACGCGGACAGAGACGCAGACACACGCAGAGAGACTCAGAGACACACGGAGAGACACGCAGAGAGACACACGCAGAGAGACACAAGACACGCGGAGAGAGAGACACGCCAGAGAGACACGCGAGAGAGACGCAGACACACGCAGAGAGACTCAGAGACACGCGGAGAGACACGCGAGAGACACAGAGAGACTCAGAGAGACACACACAGAGACACGCAGAGACACGGAGAGACACGCAAGACACGCAGAGACACGCGCAGACACGCGCAGAGACACGCAGAGAGACACACGCAGAGACACGCGGAGAGAGACACGCAGAGACACACACGCAGAGACACGCAGAGACAGCGGACACGCAGAGACACGCAGAGACACGCAGAGACACGCGCAGAGACACGCAGAGACACACGGAGACACGCAGAGAGACCACGCAGAGACACGCAGACACGCGCAGAGACACGCAGAGACACGCGGAGAGACACCACAGAGCACAGAGAGACACACGCGCAGAGACACACGCAGAGAGACACGCGCAGAGACACGCAGACACGCAGAGACACGCAGAGACACACAGAGACACGCGCAGACACGCGCAGAGACACGCAGACACGCGGAGACACACACAGACACACACAGACACACACAGAGATACGCGCAGACACGCAGAGACACGCGGAGACGCACAGAGACACGCAGACACGCAGACACGCGCAGAAACGCGCGCAGAGACACGCAGAGACACGAGCAGACACACACAGAGACACGCTCTAACACTGTGACCCCCATCTCTAACACTGTGACCCACATCTCTAACACTGTGACCCCCCATCTCTAACACTGTGACCCCCGTCTCTAACACTGTGACCCCCATCTCTAGCACTGTGACCCCCATCTCTAGCACTGTGACCCCCATCTCTAGCACTGTGACCCACGTCTCTAGCGCTGTGACCCCCATCTCTAACACTGTGACCCCATCTCTAACACTGTGACCCCCATCTCCAACACTGTGACCCCCATCTCTAACACTGTGACCCCCCCATCTCTAACACTGTGACCCCCCCATCTCTAACACTGTGACCCCCCCATCTCTAGCACTGTGACCCCCATCTCTAGCACTGTGACCCCCATCTCTAGCACTGTGACCCCCATCTCTAGCACTGTGACCCCATCTCTAGCGCTGTGACCCCATCTCTAACACTGTGACCCCCATCTCTAACACTGTGACCCCCATCTCTAACACTGTGACCCCATCGCTAGCGCTGTGACCCCCATCTCTAGCACTGTGACCCACATCTCTAGCGCTGTGACCCCATCTCTAACACTGTGACCCCCATCTCTAACACTGTGACCCCATCGCTAGCGCTGTGACCCCCATCTCTAGCACTGTGACCACATCTCTAGCGCTGTGACCCCCATCTCTAACACTGTGACCCCCCCATCTCTAACACTGTGACCCCCCCATCTCTAACACTGTGACCCCCCATCTCTAACACTGTGACCCCCCCATCTCTAACACTGTGACCCCCATCTCTAGCACTGTGACCCCCCCATCTCTAACACTGTGACCCCCCATCTCTAACACTGTGACCCCCCATCTCTAGCACTGTGACCCCCATCTCTAACACTGTGACCCCATCTCTAACACTGTGACCCCCATCTCTAACACTGTGACCCCCATCTCTAGCGCTGTGACCCCCATCTCTAACACTGTGACCCCCATCTCTAGCACTGTGACCCCCATCTCTAACACTGTGACCCCCATCTCTAACACTGTGACCCCATCTCTAACACTGTGACCCCCCCATCTCTAGCACTGTGACTCCCCCATCTCTAACACTGTGACCCCCATCTCTAGCACTGTGACCCACATCTCTAGCGCTGTGACCCCCATCTCTAACACTGTGACCCCCCCATCTCTAACACTGTGACCCCCCCATCTCTAACACTGTGACCCCCCCATCTCTAACACTGTGACCCCCCCATCTCTAACACTGTGACCCCCATCTCTAGCACTGTGACCCCCCCATCTCTAACACTGTGACCCCCCCATCTCTAACACTGTGACCCCCCATCTCTAGCACTGTGACCCCCATCTCTAACACTGTGACCCCCATCTCTAACACTGTGACCCCCATCTCTAACACTGTGACCCCCATCTCTAGCACTGTGACCCCCCCATCTCTAACACTGTGACCCCCCCATCTTTAACACTGTGACCCCCCCATCTCTAACACTGTGACCCCCTCTCTAACACTGTGACCCCCATCTCTAGCACTGTGACCCCCCCCATCTCTAACACTGTGACCCCCCCATCTTTAACACTGTGACCCCCATCTCTAGCACTGTGACCCCCATCTTTAACACTGTGACCCCCATCTCTAACACTGTGACCCCCATCTCTAGCACTGTGACCCCCATCTCTAACACTGTGACCCCCATCTCTAGCACTGTGACCCCCATCTCTAACACTGTGACCCCCATCTCTAACACTGTGACCCCATCTCTAACACTGTGACCCCCCATCTCTAGCACTGTGACTCCCCATCTCTAACACTGTGACCCCCATCTCTAACACTGTGACCCCCATCTCTAGCACCGTGACCCTCATCTCTAGCACTGTGACCCCCCTTCTAGCACTGTGACCCCCATCTCTAACACTGTGACCCCCATCTCTAACACTGTGACCCCCATCTCTAACACTGTGACCCCCCCATCTCTAGCACTGTGACTCCCCCATCTCTAACACTGTGACCCCCATCTCTAACACTGTGACCCCCATCTCTAGCACCGTGACCCTCATCTCTAGCACTGTGACCCACATCTCTAGCACTGTGACCCCCATCTCTAACACTGTGACCCCCATCTCTAACACTGTGACCCCCATCTCTAACACTGTGACCCCCCCATCTCTAGCACTGTGACTCCCCATCTCTAACACTGTGACCCCCATCTCTAACGCTGTGACCCCCATCTCTAACACCGTGACCCCCATCTCTAACACTGTGACCCACATCTCTAGCACCGTGACCCCCATCTCTAGCACTGTGACCCCCATCTCTAGCACTGTGACCCCATCTCTACACCGTGACCCACATCTCTAGCACCGTACCCCCATCTCTAGCACTGTGACCCCATCTCTAGCACCGTGACCCCCATCTCTAACACCCCCCTCCTCCCCGCGTCTCCTCGCACACAGAGAACGGAGATTTCCTCGCCCTGGACCTGGGCGGTACGAACTTCCGCGTTCTCCTCGTCCGGATCCGGAGCGGGCAACGCTGCGGTGTTGCCATGGACAACCGAATCTTCTCCATCCCGTCCCGCCATCATGCACGCCACGGGAGAACAGGTAACCCCCCCGGCCCCCTCCAGCGGTGACCCGGTGACCTTGTGACCCCGGTGGCGTGGTGACCTTGTGACCCCGGTGGCGTGGTGACCTTGTGACCCCGTGGCGTGGTGACCTTGTGACCTGGCAGAATGGTGACCTTGTAGCACGGTGACCTTGTGACCTGGCAGAATGGTGACCGTGACCTGTGTGGTGGCGTGGTGACCTTGTGGCCTAGTGGCGTGGTGACCTTGTGACCTGGCAGAATGGTGACCTTGTAGCACGGTGACCTTGTGACCTGGCAGAATGGTGACCTTGTGACCTGGTGGCGTGGTGACCTGGTGGTGTGGTGACCTTGTAGCATGGTGACCTTGTGACCTGGTAGAATGGTGACCTTGTGACCTGGTAGAATGGTGACCTTGTGACCTGGTGGCATGGTGACCTTGTGACCTGGCAGAATGGTGACCTTGTGACCTGGTGGCGTAGTGACCTTGTGACCTGGCAGAATGGTGACCTTGTAGCATGGTGACCTTGTGACCTGGTAGAATGGTGATCTTGTGGCCTTGTAGCATGGTGACCTTGTGACTTGGCAGAATGGTGACCTTGTGGCGTGCTGACCTTGTGACCTGGTGGCGTGGTGACCTTGTGACCTGGCAGAATGGTGACCTTGTAGCATGGTGACCTTGTGACCTGGTAGAATGGTGATCGTGTGGCCTTGTAGCATGGTGATCTTGTGACTTGGCAGAATGGTGACCTTGTGGCGTGCTGACCTTGTGACCTGGTGGCGTGGTGACCTTGTGACCTGGTGGCGTGGTGACCTTGTGACTTGGCAGAATGGTGACCTTGTAGCATGGTGACCTTGTGACCTGGCAGAATGGTGACCTTGTGACCTTGTAGCATGGTGACCTTGTAACTTGGCAGAATGGTGACCTTGTGGCGTGCTGACCTTGTGACCTGGTGGCGTGGTGACCTTATGACCTGGTGGTGTGTGACCTTTGTGACCTGCAGCCCAGTGACATGACCCAATAAGCATGTGACCATATGTCCCCGCGTTGACTTTTGGCCTGATTTACGTTGTGACCTTGTAGCATGGTGACCTTGTGACCTGGTGGTGTGTTGACCTTGTGACCCGGTGGTGTGGCGACCTTGTGACCTTGTAGCATGGTGACCTTGTGACCTGGCAGAATGGTGACCTTGTGACCTGGTGGTGTGGTGACCTTGTGACCTGGCATAATGGTGACCTTGTAGCATGGTGACCTTGTGACCTGGTAGAATGGTGACCTTGTGACCTTGTAGCATGGTGACCTTGTGACTTGGCAGAATGGTGACCTTGTGGCGTGCTGACCTTGTGACCTGGTGGCGTGGTGACCTTGTGACCTGGTGGCGTGGTGACCTTGTGACCTGGCAGAATTGTGACCTTGTAGCATGGTGGCCTTGTGACTTGGCAGAATGGTGACCTTGTGGCGTGCTGACCTTGTGACCTGGTGGTGTGGTGACCTTGTGACCTGCAGCCCCAGTGACATGACCCAATGAGCATGTGACCACATGTCCCACGGTGACTTGTGGCCTGATTTACGTTGTGACCTTGTAGCATGGTGACCTTGTGACCTGGTGGTGTGGTGACCTTGTGACCGTGGTGTGGTGACCTTGTGACCTTGTAGCATGGTGACCTGGCAGAATGGTGACCTTGTGACCTTGTAGCATGGTGACCTTGTGACCTGGCAGAATGGTGACCTTGTGACCCGGTGGCGCGGTGACCTTGTGACCTTGTAGCATGGTGACCTTGTGACCTGGCAGAATGGTGACCTTGTAGCATGGTGACCTTGTGACCTGGTGGTGTGGTGACCTTGTGACCCGGTGGTGTGGTGCCCTTGTGACCTTGTAGCATGGTGACCTTGTGACCTGGCAGAATGGTGACCTCGTGACCTTGTAGCATGGTGACCTTGTGACCTGACAGAATGGTGACCTTGTGACCCGGTGGTGCGGTGACCTCGTGACCCGCAATCCCAGTGACCTGATTACCTGACGGACGTGTGACCAGATTTCCGTGGTGTCCCGATGACCTCGTGACCCCGGTGACCTCTTGACCCCCCCCCCAGCTGTTTGACCACATCGTGTCCTGCGTGGCCGAGTTCCTGCACGCCAAGGGCATCGCCGCCCAGAGACTGCCCCTGGGGTTTCACCTTCTCCTTCCCTGTCGCCAGGGCAGGCTGGACCAGGTGGGTGGGTGGGGTGGAGTGGGGGGAGAGTGGGGGGGGGAGTGGTGGGGGGGGGAGAGACAAAGACGGCCGGGCGGGGCGTGGTGCTGGCCACTGTGGCAGCCTCCTGCTGACACGCTCGCCCCAACAGTCTGTTGACATGAACACGTGGGGACCCTTTGTGTATGTGTGTGTCTGTGTGTGTGTGTGTGTCTGTGTTAGTGTCTGTGTGTGTGTGTCTGTGTCTGTGTGTATGTCTGTGTTGTGTGTCTGTTGTGTGTGTATGTCCGTGTTGTGTCTGTGTGTGTGTCTGTGTGTATGTGTATGTGTGTCTGTGTGTGTCTGTGTGTGTGTGTCTGTGTGTATTTGTGTGTGTCTGTGTGTGTGTTCTGTGTATTGTGTTGTGTCTGTGTGTGTCTGTGTGTGTGTGTCTGTATGTGTGTGTCTGTGTTTGTGTCTGTCTGTCTTGTGTGTGTGTCTGTGTGTGTGTGTGTGTCTGTCTGTGTGTGTCTGTGTGTGTGTGTGTGTGTGTGTGTGACTGTATGTGTGTGTGTCTGTGTGTGTGTGTATAGTGTGTGTGTATCTGTGTCCGATAATGTAGCGGTTAGCGCTACGCTGCGCTATGAACCTGGCGACCCGGGTTCGATTCCCGCTCACGGCCAACACCAAGTGACGATTATCTGAACCGGTCCCGGCCTCCCCTAGGTCGACTCAGCCTCAAATGAGTACCTGGTGCGGTGTGTAACATCGCCACTGGGGACAAAGGCGGTCGGGCGTGGTGCTGGCCACCCACCCCCCTCGTGTACCGTTCCGGCCTTCATAGGTGCTGCTCGCTAACAGCACTTGCCCCTACAGTCTGTTAAGGCTATATGGGGGGTCTTTGTCTTTGTGCAGGGTATCCTCCTGAAGTGGACTAAAGGCTTCAAGGCGTCCGGCTGCGAGGGCAAGGACGTCGTCACCCTCCTGCGGGAGGCCGTCAAACGACGCAACGTACGTACAGACAAAGCTCCCCCAGGTAGCCGCGAGTGACCCCGCGAGTGACCCCGCGAGTGACCCGCGAGTGACCTCGTGACCCCGTAGTGTCTCCGTGAGTGTCTCCGTGAGTGTCTCTGTGAGTGACCCCGTGAGTGTCTCTGTGAGTGACCCCGTGACCCCGCGAGTGACCCCGCGAGTGACCCCGCGAGTGACCCCGCGAGTGACCCCGTGAGTGACCCCGTGACCCTGTGAGTGACCCCACGAGTTACCCCGCGAGTGTCTCCGTGAGTGTCTCCGTGAGTGTCTCCGTGAATGTCTCTGTGAGTGACCCCGTGACCCCGTGAGTGACCCCGTGAGTGACCCCGCGAGTGACCCCGCGAGTGACCCCGTGAGTGACCCCGTGACCCCGCGACCCCGCGAGTGACCCCGTTTCCTCCCCCTACCCCCCTCCCCTCCCCTCCCCCCCAAGGAGTTTGACGTGGACGTGGTGGCGGTGGTGAACGACACAGTGGGCACCATGATGACATGCGGCTACGAAGACCCCAACTGCGAGATCGGACTCATCGTGGGTGAGTACTCGTACTGGTACCTGGGTGAGTACTCGTACTGGTACCTGGGTGAGTACTCGTACTGGTACCTGGGTGAGTACTCGTACTGGTCCCTGGGTGAGTACTCGTCCTGGTACCTGGGTGAGTACTCGTCCTGGTACCTGGGTGAGTACTCGTACTGGTACCTGGTGAGTACTCGTACTGGTACCTGGGTGAGTACTCGTCCTGGTACCTGGGAGTACTCGTCCTGGTACCTGGGTGAGTACTCGTCCTGGTACCTGGGTGAGTACTCGTACTGGTACCTGGGTGAGTACTCGTCCTGGTACCTGGGTGAGTACTCGTACTGGTACCTGGGTGAGTACTCGTACTGGTACCTGGGTGAGTACTCGTACTGGTACCTGGGTGAGTACTCGTACTGGTACCTGGGTGAGTACTCGTACTGGTACCTGGGTGAGTACTCGTACTGGTACCTGGGTGAGTACTCGTCCTGGTACCTGGGTGAGTACTCGTCCTGGTACCTGGGTGAGTACTCGTCCTGGTACCTGGGTGAGTACTCGTACTGGTACCTGGGTGAGTACTCGTCCTGGTACCTGGGTGAGTACTCGTCCTGGTCCCTGGGTGAGTACTCGTACTGGTACCTGGGTGAGTACTCGTACTGGTACCTGGGTGAGTACTCGTACTGGTACCTGGGTGAGTACTCGTACTGGTACCTGGGTGAGTACTCGTACTGGTACCTGCGTGAGTACTCGTACTGGTACCTGCGTGAGTACTCGTACTGGTACCTGGGTGAGTACTGGTACCTGGGTGAGTACTCGTCCTGGTACCTGGGTGAGTACTCGTCCTGGTACCTGGGTGAGTACTCGTCCTGGTACCTGGGTGAGTACTCGTCCTGGTACCTGGGTGAGTACTCGTACTGGTACCTGGGTGAGTACTCGTCCTGGTACCTGGGTGAGTACTCGTACTGGTACCTGGGTGAGTACTCGTCCTGGTACCTGGGTGAGTACTCGTCCTGGTACCTGGGTGAGTACTCGTACTGGTACCTGGGTGAGTACTCGTACTGGTACCTGGGTGAGTACTCGTACTGGTACCTGGGTGAGTACTCGTCCTGGTACCTGGGTGAGTACTCGTACTGGTACCTGGGTGAGTACTCGTACTGGTACCTGGGTGAGTACTCGTCCTGGTACCTGGGTGAGTACTCGTACTGGTACCTGGGTGAGTACTCGTACTGGTACCTGGGTGAGTACTCGTACTGGTACCTGGGTGAGTACTCGTCCTGGTACCTGGGTGAGTACTCGTCCTGGTACCTGGGTGAGTACTCGTCCTGGTACCTGGGTGAGTACTCGTACTGGTACCTGGGTGAGTACTCGTCCTGGTACCTGGGTGAGTACTCGTCCTGGTACCTGGGTGAGTACTCGTACTGGTACCTGGGTGAGTACTCGTACTGGTACCTGGGTGAGTACTCGTACTGGTACCTGGGTGAGTACTCGTCCTGGTACCTGGGTGAGTACTCGTACTGGTACCTGGGTGAGTACTCGTACTGGTACCTGGGTGAGTACTCGTACTGGTACCTGGGTGAGTACTCGTACTGGTACCTGGGTGAGTACTCGTACTGGTACCTGGGTGAGTACTCGTACTGGTACCTGGGTGAGTACTCGTCTGGTACCTGGGTGAGTACTCGTACTGGTACCTGGGTGAGTACTCGTACTGGTACCTGGGTGAGTACTCGTACTGGTACCTGGGTGAGTACTCGTACTGGTACCTGGGTGAGTACTCGTACTGGTACCTGGGTGAGTACTCGTACTGGTACCTGGGTGAGTACTCGTACTGGTACCTGGGTGAGTACTCGTACTGGTACCTGCGTGAGTACTCGTCCTGGTACCTGGGTGAGTACTCGTACTGGTACCTGGGTGAGTACTCGTACTGGTCCCTGGGTGAGTACTCGTCCTGGTACCTGGGTGAGTACTCGTACTGGTACCTGGGTGAGTACTCGTACTGGTACCTGGGTGAGTACTCGTACTGGTACCTGGGTGAGTACTCGTACTGGTACCTGGTGAGTACTCGTACTGGTACCTGCGTGAGTACTCGTCCTGGTACCTGGGTGAGTACTCGTACTGGTACCTGGGTGAGTACTCGTACTGGTCCTGGGTGAGTACTCGTCCTGGTACCTGGGTGAGTACTCGTACTGGTACCTGGTGAGTACTCGTACTGGTACCTGGGTGAGTACTCGTACTGGTACCTGGGTGAGTACTCGTCCTGGTACCTGGGTGAGTACTCGTACTGGTACCTGGGTGAGTACTCGTCCTGGTACCTGGGTGAGTACTCGTACTGGTACCTGGGTGGTACTCGTCCTGGTACCTGGGTGAGTACTCGTCCTGGTACCTGGGTGAGTACTCGTACTGGTACCTGGGTGAGTACTCGTACTGGTACCTGGGTGAGTACTCGTACTGGTACCTGGTGAGTACTCGTACTGGTACCTGGGTGAGTACTCGTACTGGTACCTGGGTGAGTACTCGTCCTGGTACCTGGGTGAGTACTCGTCCTGGTACCTGGGTGAGTACTCGTACTGGTACCTGGGTGAGTACTCGTACTGGTACCTGGGTGAGTACTCGTACTGGTACCTGGGTGAGTACTCGTACTGGTACCTGGGTGAGTACTCGTACTGGTACCTGGGTGAGTACTCGTACTGGTACCTGGTGATACTCGTACTGGTACCTGGGTGAGTACTCGTACTGGTACCTGCGTGAGTACTCGTCCTGGTACCTGGGTGAGTACTCGTACTGGTACCTGGGTGAGTACTCGTACTGGTCCCTGGGTGAGTACTCGTACTGGTACCTGGTGAGTACTCGTACTGGTACCTGGGTGAGTACTCGTACTGGTACCTGGGTGAGTACTCGTACTGGTACCTGGGTGAGTACTCGTACTGGTACCTGGGTGAGTACTCGTACTGGTACCTGGGTGAGTACTCGTACTGGTACCTGCGTGAGTACTCGTCCTGGTACCTGGTGAGTACTCGTACTGGTACCTGGGTGAGTACTCGTACTGGTCCCTGGGTGAGTACTCGTCCTGGTACCTGGGTGAGTACTCGTACTGGTACCTGGGTGAATACTCGTACTGGTACCTGGGTGAGTACTCGTACTGGTACCTGGGTGAGTACTCGTCCTGGTACCTGGGTGAGTACTCGTCCTGGTACCTGGGTGAGTACTCGTACTGGTACCTGGGTGAGTACTCGTCCTGGTACCTGGGTGAGTACTCGTACTGGTACCTGGGTGAGTACTCGTCCTGGTACCTGGGTGAGTACTCGTCCTGGTACCTGGGTGAGTACTCGTACTGGTACCTGGGTGAGTACTCGTACTGGTACCTGGGTGAGTACTCGTCCTGGTACCTGGGTGAGTACTCGTCCTGGTACCTGGGTGAGTACTCGTACTGGTACCTGGGTGAGTACTCGTACTGGTACCTGGTGAGTACTCGTCCTGGTACCTGGGTGAGTACTCGTACTGGTTCCTGGGTGAGTACTCGTCCTGGTACCTGGGTGAGTACTCGTACTGGTACCTGGGTGAGTACTCGTCCTGGTACCTGGGTGAGTACTCGTCCTGGTACCTGGGTGAGTACTCGTACTGGTACCTCGGTGAGTACTCGTACTGGTACCTGGGTGAGTACTCGTACTGGTACCTGGGTGAGTACTCGTCCTGGTACCTGCGTGAGTACTCGTCCTGGTACCTGGGTGAGTACTCGTCCTGGTACCTGGGTGAGTACTCGTACTGGTACCTGGGTGAGTACTCGTACTGGTACCTGGTGAGTACTCGTACTGGTACCTGGGTGAGTACTCGTACTGGTACCTGGGTGAGTACTCGTACTGGTACCTGGGTGAGTACTCGTACTGGTACCTGGGTGAGTACTCAGCGGTCTGTCACAGGGACTAGTGCTCACTGGGTGAGCACTAGTCCCTGCGACAGACTCGTACTCGGCCTACACCAGGCCCCGTAACAGGCCTCACACTAGGCCTCACATCAGGGCCTCACACCAGGCCCCGTAACAGGCCTCACACTAGGCCTCACATCAGGGCCTCACACCAGGCCTCACACTAGGCCTCACATCAGGCCTCACACCAGGGCCTCACACCAGGGCCTCACACTAGGCCTCACACAAGGCCTCACACCAGGCCTCACACCAGGGCCTCACACCAGGCCTCACACCAGGGCCTCACACCAGGCCTCACACCAAGCCTCACACCAGGGCCTCACACCAAGCCTCACACCAGGGCCTCACACCAGGCCTCACACCAGGCCTCACACCAAGCCTCACACCAGGGCCTCACACCAGGCCTCACACTAGGCCTCACACCAGGCCTCACACCAGGCCTCACACCAGGGCCTCACACCAGGCCTCACACCAGGCCTCACATCAGGCCCCGTAACAGGCCTCACACCAGGGCCTCACACCAGGGCCTCACACTAAGCCTCACACAAGCCTCACACCAGGCCTCACACCAAGCCTCACACCAGGCCTCACACTAGGCCTCACACAAGGCCTCACACTAGGCCTGACACTAGGCCTCACACCAGGGCCTCACACCAGGGCCTCACACTAGGCCTCACACTAGGCCTCACACCAGGGCCTCACACCAGGGCCTCACACTAGCCTCACACTAGGCCTCACACCAGCCTCACACCAGGCCTCACACCAGGGCCTCACACCAGGGCCTCACACTAGGCCTCACACAAGGGCCTCACACCAGGGCCTCACACCAGGGCCTCACACCAGGGCCTCACACAAGGCCTCACACAAGGGCCTCACACCAGGGCCTCACACAAGGCCTCACACCAGGGCCTCACACCAGGCCTGGGATAAAGCCCCAATGTTGACTCTGACCCCGAGTCCCGATGTTGTGTCTCCGTGTCAACGATGATGTTGATGGTGGCGATGGTGGCGATGACGTTGATGATGATGTTGGTGGTGGCGATGTTGTTGATAACGTTGATGGTAATCGTGGTGGCGGCGATGTTGATGATGATGGTGATGTTGATGGTGGTGATGTTGATGGCGACGTTGTTGATAACGTTGATGACGTTGATGATAATCGTGGTGGTGGCGATGTTGATGATGATGTTGATGACGTTGATTAAATGATGGTGGTGACGTTGATGATAACGTTGATGACGTTGATGACAATGGTGGTGGTGGCGACGTTTATGATGGTGGCGATGTTGATGATGATGATGGAGTCGATGTTGATGATGATGGAGTCGATGTTGATGGTGGCGATGTTGATGATAATGTTGATGATGGTGGCGATGTTGATGATGATGTTGATGATGATGTTGATGGTGGCGATGTTGGTGATAATCGTGGCGGTGGCGATGTTGATGGTGGCGATGTTGATGATGTTGATGATGATGATGATGTTGATGATGGCGATGTTGATGATGGCGATGTTGATGATGGTGGTGGCGATGTTGATGGTGGCGATGTTGATGATAATGTTGATGATGATGGTGGCGATGTTGATGGTGGCGATGTTGATGATGTTGATGATATGGTGGCGATGTTGATGATGATGTTGATGATGGTGGCGATGTTGATGATGATGTTGATGATGATGGTGGCGATGTTGGTGATAATCGTGGCGGTGGCGATGTTGATGATGATGTTGATGATAATCGTGGCGGTGGCGATGTTGATGATGATGATGTTGATGGTGGCGATGTTGATGATGATGTTGATGGTGGCGATGTTGATGATGGATGATAATGGTCGTGGTGATGATGATGGCGATGTTGATGATGGCGATGTTGATGATGATGTTGATGATGATGGTGGCGATGTTGGTGATAATCGTGGCGGTGGCGATGTTGATGATGATGATGTTGATGATGGCGATGTTGATGATGATGTTGATGATGGTGGTGGTGGCTGCGCCAGGCACGGGCAGCAACGCGTGCTACATGGAGGAGATGAGCAACGTGGAACTGGTGGAGGGGACGAGGGACGGATGTGCATCAACACGGAGTGGGGCGGATTCGAGACGACGGAGCCCTGGACGACATCCGCACCGAGTTTGACCGCGCCGTAGACGCCGGCTCCCTCAACCCGGGGAAGCAAACGTACGGCTCCCGGCCCCGGCACCGTGGAGTGGGCCCACTCCCATCTCTAGCGCTGTGACCCCCCCATCTCTAGCACTGTGACCCCCATCTCTAGCACTGTGATCCACCCCATCTCTTGCACTGTGACCCCCATCTCTAGCACTGTGACCCCCATCTCTTGCACTGTGACCCCCATCTCTAACACTGTGACCCCCATCTCTAACACTGTGACCCCCATCTCTAGCACTGTGATCCACCCCATCTCTAACACTGTGACCCCCATCTCTAACACTGTGACCCCCATCTCTAGCACTGTGACCCCCATCTCTAGCACTGTGACCCCATCTCTAGCACTGTGACCCCCATCTCTAGAACTGTGACCCCCCCATCTCTAGCACTGTGACCCCCATCTCTAACACTGTGACCCCCATCTCTAACACTGTGACCCCCATCTCTAGCACTGTGATCCACCCCATCTCTAACACTGTGACCCCCATCTCTAACACTGTGACCCCCATCTCTAGCACTGTGACCCCCATCTCTAACACTGTGACCCCCATCTCTAGCACCGTGACCCCCATCTCTAGCACCGTGACCCCCATCTCTAGCACTGTGACCCCCCCATCTCTAGCACTGTGACCCCATCTCTAGCACTGTGACCCCCATCTCTAGCACTGTGACCCCCATCTCTAGCGCTGTGACCCCCCCATCTCTAACACTGTGACCCCCATCACTGTGACCCCCATCTCTAACACTGTGACCCCCATCTCTAGCACTGTGACCCCCATCTCTAACACTGTGACCCCCATCTCTAGCACCGTGACCCCCATCTCTAGCACCGTGACCCCCATCTCTAGCACTGTGACCCCCCCATCTCTAGCACTGTGACCCCCATCTCTAGCACTGTGACCCCCATCTCTAGCGCTGTGACCCCCCCATCTCTAACACTGTGACCCCCATCACTGTGACCCCCATCTCTAACACTGTGACCCCCATCTCTAGCACTGTGACCCCCATCTCTAGCACTGTGACCCCCATCTCTAACTCTGTGTCCCACCGCCTCCGCCCGTCTCTACTGCCGCAGCTACGAGAAGATGATGAGTGGAATGTATCTGGGTGAGATCGTTCGCCACGTGCTGCTGGATCTGACCCAGCAGGGCCTCCTCTTCCGGGGCCGAGTCTCTCCCCGGCTGACGCTTCCCGGCATCTTTGAAACCAAGTTCCTGTCCCACATCGAGAGGTGAGAGACTCCCACTCACCCACTCTCTCACTCACTCATTCACCCTCTCACTCATTCACCCTCTCACTCACTCACCCTCTCACTCACTCACTCACCCTCTCACTCACCCAACCACTCACCCACCCACCCACCCACTCTCTCACTCACTCATTCACCCTCTCACTCATTCACCCTCTCACTCATTCACCCTCTCACTCATTCACCCTCTCACTTACTCACTCACTCACTCACCCACCACTCACCCACCCACCCACCCACTCTCTCGCCCACCCACCCACTCACTCTCTCACCCACCCACCCACTCTCCCACCCACCCACCCACTCTCCCACCCACCCACCCACTCTCCCACCCCCCACCCACTCTCCCACCCACCCACCCACTCTCCCACCCACCCACTCTCCCACCCACCCCCCACTCTCCCACCCACCCACTCTCCCACCCACCCACCCACTCTCCCACCCACCCACCCACACTCTCCCACCCACCCACACTCTCCCACCCACCCACACTCTCTCTCCCACCCACCCACCCACCACCCACTCTCTCTCCCACCCACCCACCCATCCACTCTCTCTCCCACCCACCCACCCACTCTCACTCCCACCCACCCACTCTCTCTCCCCCCACCCACCCACTCTCTCTCCCACCCACCCACCCACTCTCTCTCCCACCCACCCACCCACCCACCCACTTTCTCTCCCACCCACCCACCCACCCACTCTCTCTCCCACCCACCAACTCACTCTCTCTCCCCCCCACCCACTCACTCTCTCTCTCTCCCCCCACCCACCCACTCTCTCTCTCTCCCACCCACCCACTCTCTCTCTCTCCCACCCACCCACTCTCTCTCTCTCTCCACCCACCCACCCACTCTCTCTCTCTCTCCCCCACCCACCCACCCACTCTCTCTCTCTCCCACCCACCCACCCACTCTCTCTCTCTCTCCCCCCACCCACTCTCTCTCCCACCCACCCCCCACCCTCTCTCCCACCCACCCACCCTCTCTCCCACCCACCTTCTCTCCCCCACCCCCCTCTCTCCCACCCACCCTCTCTCCCACCCACCCTCTCTCCCACCCACCCACTCTCTCTCCCACCCACCCACTCACTCACCCACCCACCCACGATCACTCTCACTCACCCACCCCCACTCTCTCTCTCTCTCTCACTCACCCACCCACCCACTCTCTCTCTCTCTCACTCACCCACCCACCCACTCTCTCACTCACCCACCCACTCTCTCTCTCTCTCTCTCACCCACCCACCCACTCTCTCTCCCACCCACCCACCCTCTCTCCCACCCACCCACCCTCTCTCCCCCACCCACCCACCCTCTCTCCCACCCACCCACCCTCTCTCCCACCCACCCACTCTCTCTCCCACCCACCCACCCACTCTCTCTCTCTCACTCACCCACCCACCACTCTCTCTCTCACTCACCCACCCACACACTCTCTCTCTCTCTCACTCACCCACCCACCCACTCTCTCTCTCTCACCCACCCACCCACTCTCTCTCTCTCACTCACCCACCCACCCACTCTCTCTCTCACCCACCCACCCACTCACTCTCCCACCCACCCACCCACCCACTCACTCTCCCACCCACCCACCCACCCACCCACTCTCCCACCCACCCAGTCTCCCACCCACCCACCCACTCTCCCACCCACCCACCCACCCACCCACTCTCCCACCCCACCCACCCACCCACTCTCCCACCCACCCACTCTCTCTCCCACCCACCCACCCACTTTCTCTCCCACCCACCCACCCACCCACTCTCTCTCCCACCCACCCACCCACCCACTCTCTCTCCACCCACCCACACACCCACCCACTCTCTCTCCCACCCACCCACCCACTCTCTCTCCCACCCACCCACCCACTCTCTCTCCCACCCACCCACCCACTCTCTCTCCCACCCACCCACTCTCTCTCCCACCCACCCACCCACTCTCTCTCTCTCCCACCCACCCACCCACTCTCTCTCCCACCCACCCACCCACCCACTCTCTCTCTCTCCCACCCACCCACCCACTCTCTCTCTCTCCCCCCACCCACCCACCCACTCTCTCTCTCTCCCACCCACCCACCCACCCACCCCTCTCTCTCCCACCCACCCACCCACTCTCTCTCTCTCCCACCCACCCACCCACTCTCTCTCTCTCCCACCCACCCACCCACCCACTCTCTCTCTCACCCACCCACCCACTCTCTCTCCCACCCACCCACCCACCCACGTCTCTCTCTCCTCCCACCCACACCACCCACCCACTCTCTCTCTCTCCCACCCACCCACCCCACTCTCTCTCCCACCCCACCCACCCACTCTCTCTCTCTCCCACCCACCCACCCACTCTCTCTCTCTCCCACCCACCCCACCCACCCACTCTCTCTCTCACCCACCACCCACTCTCCTCTCTCACCCACCCACCCACTCTCTCTCTCACCCACCCACCCACTCTCTCTCTCACCCACCCACCCACTCTCTCTCTCTCCCACCCACCCACCCACTCTCCTCTCTCTCCCACCCACCCACCCACTCTCTCTCTCCCACCACACCCACCCACTCTCTCTCTCCCACCCCCCACCCACCCACTCTCTCTCTCTCCCACCCACCCACCCACTCTCTCCCACCCACCCACCCACTCTCTCTCTCCCACCCACCCATCCACCCACTCTCTCTCCCACCCACTCTCCCACCCACCCACCCCTCTCTCCCACCCACCCTCTCTCCCACCCACCCACTCTCTCTCACCCCACTCACTCTCTCTCCCACCCCACCCACTCTCTCTCTCACTCACCCACCTCTCTCTCTCACTCACCCACCCACCCACTCTCCTCTCTCTCTCACTCACCACCCACCCACTCTCTCACTCACCCCACCCACCCTCTCTTCCCCACCCACCCACTCTCTCTCACCCACTCACTCTCTCTCCAACCCACCCACTCTCTCTCCCACCCACCCACTCTCCTCTCCCACCCCCACCCCACTCTCTCTCCACCCACCCACTCTCTCTCCCACTCCACCCACTCTCTCTCCCACCCACCCACTCTCTCTCTCTCCCACCCACCACCCACCTCTCTCCTCTCACTCACCCACCCACACACTCTCTCACTCACCCACCACACACTCTCTCTCTCTCTCTCACTCACCCACCCACCCACTCTCTCTCAATCACTCACCCCCCACCCACCCACTCTCTCTCTCTCACTCACCACCCCACTCTCTCTCTCTCTCACTCATCCACCCACTCTCTCTCTCTCTCTCTCACCCACCCACCCACCCACTCACCCACACACCCCACTCACCCACCCACTCACCCACCCACCCACCCACTCACCCACCCACCCACCCACTCTCTCACCCACCCACTCTCTCACCCACCCACTCTCTCACTCACCCCACTCTCTCACTCACCCACTCTCTCACTCACCCACTCTCTCACTCACCCACTCTCTCACTCACCCACTCTCTCACTCACCCACTCTCTCACTCACCCACTCTCTCACTCACCCACTCTCTCACTCACCCACTCTCTCACTCACCCACTCTCTCACTCACCCACTCACCCACCCACTCACCCACCCACTCACCCACCCCACTCTCCCACCCACCCACTCTCCCACCCACTCTCCTACCCACTCTCCCACCCACTCTCCCACCCACTCTCCCACCCACTCTCCCACCCACTCTCCCACCCACTCTCCCACGTCTCTCACCCACCCACCCACTCTCTCTCCCCACCCACTCTCCCACCACTCTCCCACCCACCCACCCACCCTCTCACCCACCCACCCTCTCACCCACCCACTCTCTCACCCACCCACTCTCTCACCCACCCACTCTCTCACCCACCCACTCTCTCACCCACCCACTCTCCCACCCACCCACTCACCCACCCACCCACTCACCCACCCACCCACCCACTCACCCACTCACCCACCCACTCACTCACCCACCCACTCTCTCTCACCCCACCCACTCTCTCTCACCCACTCACTCTCTCTCCCACCCACCCACTCTCTCTCCCACCCACCCACTCTCTCTCCCACCCCACCCACTCTCTCTCCCACCCACCCACTCTCTCTCTCACTCACCCACCCACCCACTCTCTCTCTCTCACTCACCCACCCACCCACTCTCTCTCTCTCCCACCCCACCCACCCACCCACCCACTCTCTCTCTCCCACCCACCCATCACCCACTCTCTCTCCCACCCACTCTCCCACCCACCCACCCTCTCTCCCACCCACCCTCTCTCCCCACCCACCCACTCTCTCTCACCCACTCACTCTCTCTCCCACCCCACCCACTCTCTCTCTCACTCACTCACCCACCCACTCTCTCTCTCTCTCCCACCCACCCACTCTCTCTCTCTCTCACTCACCCACCCACTCTCTCTCTCTCTCACCCACCCACCCACCCACTCACCCACCCACCCACCCACCCACTCACCCACCCACACACTCACCCACCCACTCTCTCACTCACCCACTCTCTCACTCACCCACTCTCACTCACCCACTCTCTCACTCACCCACTCTCTCACTCACCCCACTCTCTCACTCACCCACTCTCTCACTCACCCACTCTCTCACTCACCCACTCTCTCACTCACCCACTCTCTCACTCACCCACTCTCTCACTCACCCACTCTCTCACTCACCCACTCTCTCACTCACCCACTCTCTCACTCACCCACTCTCTCACTCACCCACTCACCCACCCACCCACTCACCCACCCACTCACCCACCCACCCACTCTCCCACCCACTCTCCCCACCCCCCACTCTCCTACCCACTCTCCCACCCACTCTCCCCCCCCACTCTCCCACCCCACTCTCCCACCACTCTCCCACCCACTCTCCCACCCACTCTCCACCCCACTCTCCCACCCACTCTCCCACTCTCTCACCCACCCACCCACTCTCTCTCCCACCCACTCTCCCCACCCCACTCTCCCACCCACCCACCCACCCTCCCACCCCACCCACCCACCCACCCTCTCACCCACCCACCCACCCTCTCACCCACCCACTCTCTCACCCACCCACTCTCTCACCCACCCACTCTCCCACCCACTCACCCACTCTCTCACCCACCCACCCACTCACCCACCCACTCACCCACCAACACACCCACCCACCCACTCTCTCTCTCCCACCCACCCATCCACCACTCTCTCTCCCACCCACTCTCCCACCCACCCACCCTCTCTCCCACCCACCCTCCCAACCCACCCACCCCTCCTCTCCACCCACCCTCTCTCCCACCCACCCTCTCTCCCACCCATCCACTCTCTCTCACCCACTCACTCTCTCTCCCCACCCACCCACTCTCTCTCTCACTCACTCACCCACCCCACTCTCTCTCTCTCTCCCACCCACCCACTCTCTCTCACTCACCCACCCACTCTCTCTCTCTCTCACCCACCCACTCTCTCTCTCTCTCACCCACCCACCCACCCACTCACCCACCCACTCACCCACCCACACACTCACCCACCCACTCTCTCACTCACCCACTCTCTCACTCACCCACTCTCACTCACCCCACTCTCTCACTCACCCACTCTCTCACTCACCCACTCTCTCACTCACCCACTCTCTCACTCACCCACTCTCTCCACTCACCCCACTCTCTCACTCACCCACTCTCTCACTCACCCACTCTCTCACTCACCTACTCTCTCACTCACCCACCCACCCACCCTCTCACTCACCCACCCACCCACCCACTCACCCACCCACACACTCACCCACCCACTCTCTCACTCACCCACTCTCTCACTCACCCACTCTCACTCACCCACTCTCTCACTCACCCACTCTCTCACTCACCCACTCTCTCACTCACCCACTCTCTCACTCACCCACTCTCTCACTCACCCACTCTCTCACTCACCCACTCTCTCACTCACCCACTCTCTCACTCACCCACCTCTCTCACTCACCCACTCACCCACCCACCCACTCACCCAACCCACTCACCCACCCACCCACTCTCCCACCCACTCTCCCACCCACTCTCCTACCCACTCTCCCACCCACTCTCCCCCCCACTCTCCCACCCACTCTCCCACCCACTCTCCCACCCCACTCTCCCACCCACTCTCCCACCCACTCTCCCACCCACTCTCCCACCCACTCTCCCACCCACTCTCCCACTCTCTCACCCACCCACCCACTCTCTCTCCCACCCACTCTCCCACCCACCCCACCCACCCTCCCACCCACCCCACCCACCCTCTCACCCACCCACCCACCCCCTCACCCACCCACTCTCTCACCCACCCACTCTCTCACCCACCCACCCACTCACCCACCCACCACCCACCCACTCTCTCACCCACCCACTCACCCACTCACCCACTCACCCACCCACTCTCTCACCCACCCACCCACTCTCTCACCCACCCACCCACTCTCTCACCCACCCCACCCACTCTCTCACCCACCCACCCACTCTCTCACCCACCCACCCACTCTCTCACCCACCCACTCTCTCACCCCACCCACTCTCTCACCCACCCCACCCACCCACTCTCCTCACCCACCCACCCACTCTCTCACCCACCCACCCACTCTCTCACCCACCCACCCACTCACCCACTCACCCACCCACTCTCTCACCCACCCACCCACTCTCTCACCCACCCACCCACTCTCTCACCCACCCACCCACTCTCTCACCCACCCACCCACTCTCTCACCCACCCACTCTCTCACCTACCCACTCTCTCACCCACCCACCCACCCCCACTCTCTCACCCACCCACCCACTCTCTCACCCACCCACCCACTCTCTCTCCCACCCACCCACTCTCTCTCTCACTCACCCACCCACTCTCTCTCCCACCCACCCACCCACTCAGCCACCCACCCACTCTCTTTCTCACTCACCCACCCAACCACCCACTCACTCACCCCACCCACCCACTCAGCCACCCACCCACTCTCTTTCTCACTCACCCACCCAACCACCCACTCACTCACCCACTCACCCACTCACCCACCCACACACTCACCCACCCACTCTCTCACCCTCTCACCCACTCAACCACCCACCCTCCCTGCCCCCGCAGCGACCGACTAGCTCTACTCCAGGTGCGCTCCATCCTGCCACCAGCTGGGCCTGGAGTCGTCCTGCGAGGACGCGCTCGTGGTGCAGGAGGTGTGCCGGGCGGTTTGTCCCGGCGTGCCGCTCAGCTGTGCGGTGCCGGGTCGCCGCCATCGCCACCCGCATGGCGAGGGCACGGGGCCTGGCGCGCATGCGGGTCACCGCCGGGGTGGACGGGACCCTGTACAAGCTGCACCCGCAGTGAGTGTGTACACTGTGTGTGAGTGTGTGTGAGTGTGTGTACCTGTGTGTACCTGTGTGTGTACCTGTGTGTGTGTGTACCTGTGTGTCAGTGTGTGTGTACCTGTGTGTGTGTACCTGTGTGTCAGTGTGTGAGTGTGTACCTGTGTGTGTGTAGCTGTGTGTGTGTACCTGTGTGTGTGTACCTGTGTGTACCTGTGTGTGTGTACCTGTGTGTGTATACCTGTGTGTGTGTGTACCTGTGTGTGTGTACCTGTGTGTCAGTGTGTGAGTGTGTACCTGTGTGTGTGTGTGTGAGTATGTGTGTTGTACCTGTGTGTGTACCTGTGTGTGTACCTGTGTGTGTGTACCTGTGTGTCAGTGTGTGAGTGTGTACACTGTGTGTGTGTGTGACTGTGTGTGTGTGAGTGTGTGTACCTGTGTGTGTGTACCAGTGTGTGTGTACCTGTGTGTCAGTGTGTGTGTACCTGTGTGTGTGTGTACCTGTGTGTGTGTGAGTGTGTACACTGTGTGTGTGAGTGTGTGTGTACCTGTGTGTGTCTGTGTGTCAGTGTGTCAGTGTGTGTACCTGTGTGTGTACCTGTGTGTGTCTGTGTGTGTGTCTGTGTGTGTACCTGTGTGTGTGTACCTGTGTGTGTGTGTACCTGTGTGTCAGTGTGTGTGTGTGTACCTGTGTGTGTGTACCTGTGTGTGTCTGTGTGTCAGTGTGTGTGTCTGTGTCTGTGTGTGTGTCTGTGTGTGTACCTGTGCGTGTACCTGTGTGTGTGTGTACCTGTGTGTGTGTGTCAGTGTGTGTGAGTGTGTACCTGTGTGTGTTTGAGTGTGTGTACCTGTGTGTCAGTGTGTGAGTGTGTACACTGTGTGTGTGTGTGACTGTGTGTGTGTGAGTGTGACTGTGTTGTGTGTCAGTGTGTGAGTGTGTACCTGTGTGTGAGTGTGTACCTGTGTGTGTGTGTGACTGTGTGTGTGTGTGTATATATGTGTGTGTGTGTGTGTATGTGTGTGTGTGGACCTGTGTGTGTGTACACTGTGTGTGTGTGTCTGTGTGTTTGTGTGTGTGTACCTGTGTGTGTGTGTACCCTGTGTGTGTGTGTACCTGTGTGTGTGTGTACCTGTGTGTATATATCCGTGTGTGTGTGTACCTGTGTGTGTATATCTGTGTGTGTGTGTGTATATCTGTGTGTGTCTGTGTGTGTATATCTGTTTGTGTATATCTGTGTGTGCGTGTGTCTCTGTGTGTGTGTGTATGTACCTGTGTGTGTATGTACCTGTGTGTGTGTGTGTATATCTGTGTGTGTGTGTACCTGTATGTGTGTCTCTGTGTGTGTGTATGTACCCTGTGTGTGTATATCTATGTGTGTGTGTGTACCTGTGTGTGTGTGTGTGTCTCTGTGTGCGTAGCTTTGCCCAGGTGATGCAGCAGACGGTGGAGCTGCTGGCGCCAGAGTGTGACGTCCGCTTCGTCAGCTCAGAGGACGGCAGCGGCAAGGGAGCAGCCCTCATCACCGCTCCTGTGGCGTGCCGGGCACGAGACATGGGGACTCACTGATGCCTCGCTCGCTCACTCACCCACTCACTCATTCGCCCGCTCGCTCACTCACCCACCCACTCACTCCTCCACCCACTCACCCACCTGCTCGCTCGCTCCGCTCACTCACTCACTCACTCACCCGCTCGCTCGCCTCACTCACTCAATCACTCGCCCACTCACCCACCCGCTCGCTCACTCACTCACCCGCTCGCTCGCTCGCTCACTCACTCACTCACCCACCCACTCACTCACCCACCCACCCGCTCATTCGCTCACTCACCCACCACTCACCCACCCCCTCACTCACTCACCCACCCCCTCACTCACTCACCCACTCACTCTACCCGCTGACTCACCCATCCACTCACTCACCCACCCATCCACTCGCTCACTCACCCACCCACCCACTCACTCACCCACCCACTCACTCACCCACTCACTCACCCACCCACTCACCCACTCGCTCACCCACCCACCCACCCACTCACCCACCTACCCACCCACCCCACTCACCCACCAACTCACTCACCCACTCACTCACTCACCCACTCACCCACCCACTCACCCACCCACTCACCCACCCACCCACCCACTCACCCACCCACCGTGTACAGATGGCCCCAACGCGGCCTGCACAGCCACTCCTTGGTTTTGTAAAAGGAGAAAAGGTTAAAGTTTGATGAAATAAAAAAACAACTTTGGGGAACAAGAACAAAGTAAACAGATTGCGCAAGCTCCTTCGTACGCGTCACGGATTGTGGTGGGGGGTGTGTGGGTGGGGGGGGGGTGTGGGTGGGGGGGTGTGGGTGGAGGGGTGTGGGTGGAAGGTGGGGTGGGTAGGGTGGCTGGTGGCGGCACCCCCAGTGGCAGCTGTCTCTGTGCACCACTCAGCTGTCACCAGTAGGGGCTGACCACGTGGTCTCTGTGCACCACTCAGCTGTCACCAGTAGGGGCTGGCCACGTGGTCTCTGTGCACCACTCAGCTGTCACCAGTAGGGGCTGACCACGTGGTCTCTGTGCACCACTCAGCTGTCAACAGTAGGGGCTGACCACGTGGTCTCTGTGCACCACTCAGCTGTCACCAATAGGGGCTGGCCACGTGGTCTTTGTGCACACACCAGGCTGACACCAGTAGGGGCTGGCCACGTGGTCTCTGTGCACCACTCAGCTGTCACCAGTAGGGGCTGACCACGTGGTCTCTGTGCACCACTCAGCTGTCACCAGTAGGGGCTGGCCACGTGGTCTCTGTTGCACCACTCAGCTGTCCACCAGTAGGGGCTGGCCACGTGGTTCTCTGTGCACCACTCAGCTGTCACCAGTAGGGCTGACCACGTGGTCTCTGTGCACCACTCAGCTGTCACAGTAGGGGGCTGACACGTGGTCTCCTGTGCACCACTCAACTGTCACCAGTAGGGGCTGACCACGTGGTCTCTGTGCACCACTCAGCTGTCACCAGTAGGGGCTGACCACGTGGTCTCTGTGCACCACTCAGCTGTCACCAGTAGGGGCTGACCACGTGGTCTCTGTGCACCACTCAGCTGTCACCAGTAGGGGCTGACCACGTGGTCTCTGTGCACCACTCAGCTGTCACCAGTAGGGGCTGACCCACGTGGTCTCTGTGCACCACTCAGCTGTCACCAGTAGGGGCTGACCACGTGGTCTCTGTGCACCACTCAGCTGTCACCAGTAGAGGCTGACCACGTGGTCTTTGTGCACCACTCAGCTGTCACCAGTAGGGGCTGACCACGTGGTCTCTGTGCACCACTCAGCTGTCACCAATAGGGGCTGGCCACGTGGTCTTTGTGCACCACAAGGCTGACACCAGTAGGGGCTGGCCACGTGGTCTCTGTGCACCACTCAGCTGTCACCAGTAGGGGCTGGCCACGTGGTCTCTGTGCACCACTCAGCTGTCACCAGTAGGGGCTGGCCACGTGGTCTCTGTGCACCACTCAGCTGTCACCAGTAGGGGCTGACCACGTGGTCTCTGTGCACAGAAAGTGTATCGTAGTGTGTAGTGTACCGTGTAGTGTAGTGTACAGAAAGTGTATAGTAGTGTGTAGTGTACCGTGTAGTGTAGTGTACAGAAAGTGTATCGTAGTGTGTAGTGTACCGTGTAGTGTAGTGTACAGAAAGTGTATAGTAGTGTGTAGTGTACCGTGTAGTGTAGTGTACAGAAAGTGTATAGTAGTGTGTAGTGTATAGTAGTGTAGTGTAATGTAGTGTATAGTGTAGTGTATAGTAGTGTATAGTGTGTAGTGTATAGTAGTGTAGTGTATAGTAGTGTATAGTGTGTAGTAGTGTAGTGTCTAGTAGTGTAGTGTCTAGTAGTGTAGTGTATAGTAGTGTATAGTTGTGTAGTGTATAGTAGTGTATAGTGTAGTGTATAGTGTAGTGTATAGTAGTGTATAGTGTAGTGTATAGTAGTGTATAGTGTAGTGTATAGTAGTGTATAGTAGTGTGTAGTGTATAGTAATGTGTAGTGTATAGTAGTGTATAGTGTAGTGTATAGTAGTGTGTAGTGTATAGTGTAGTGTATAGTAGTGTAGTGTGTAGTGTATAGTAGTGTATAGTAGTGTATAGTGTAGTGTAATATTAATTAGACAATTAAAAAGGCAGCTCTACTGCTAAATTTAAACGTTATCTTTTCCCCGCAATTACAACGTCTTGGGGTACGGCGTCTTGCTTGGGGTACGGCGTCTTGCTTGAGATAAGACGTCTTGGGGTACGTCTTGCTTGGGGTATGACGTCTTGGGGTACGACGTCTTGGGGTACGACGTCTTGGAGTACAAGGTCTTGGGGTATGACGTCTTGGGATATGATGTCTTGGGGTACGACGTCTTGGGATACGACGTCTTGGGATACGACGTCTTGGGGTACGACGTCTTGGGGTATGACGTCTTGGGATAAGACGTCTTGGGGTACGACGTCTTGGAGTACGACGTCTTGGGGTACAACGTCTTGGGGTACGACGTCTTGGAGTACGACGTCTTGGGGTACGACGTCTTGCTTGGGGTACGACGTCTTGGGGTACGACGTCTTGCTTGGGGTACGACGTCTTGGCGTATGACGTCTTGGGGTATGACGTCTTGGGGTACGACGTCTTGGTGTATGATGTCTTGGGGTATGACGTCTTGGGGTACGACGTCTTGTGGTACGACGTCTTGGGGTACGACGTCTTGGAGTACGACGTCTTGCTTGGGGTATGACGTCTTGGACAGGACGTCTTGGGGTACGACGTCTTGGGGTATGACGTCTTGGGGTACGACGTCTTGCTTGGGGTACGACGTCTTGGGGTACGACGTCTTGGGGTACGTCTTGTGGTACGACGTCTTGGGGTACGACGTCTTGGGGTATGATGTCTTGTGGTACGACGTCTTGGGGTACGACGTCTTGGGGTACGACGTCTTGGGGTATGATGTCTTGTGGTACGACGTTCTTGGGGTACGACGTCTTGGGGTATGATGTCTTGGGGTACGACGTCTTGGGGTACGACGTCTTGGGGTACGACGTCTTGGGGTATGACGTCTTGGGGTACGACGTCTTGGGATAACGACGTCTTGGGGTACGACGTCTTGGGGTATGACGTCTTGGGGTACGACGTCTTGGGGTACGACGTCTTGGGGTTACGATGTCTTGCTTGGGGTACGACGTCTTGGGGTACGACGTCTTGGGGTACGATGTCTTGCTTGTGGTACGACGTCTTGGGGTACGACGTCTTGGGGTACGACGTCTTGGGGTACGACGTCTTGGGATAACGACGTCTTGGGGTACGACGTCTTGTGGTACGACGTCTTGGGGTATGACGTCTTGGGATAGGGCGTCTTGCTTGGGGTACGACGTCTTGGGGTACGACGTCTTGGCATAACGACGTCTTGGGGTACGATGTCTTGGGGTACGACGTCTTGGGGTACGACGTCTTGGGGTACGACGTCTTGTGGTACGACGTCTTGGGGTACGACGTCTTGGGGTACGACGCCTTGGGGTACGACGTCTTGGGGTATGACATCTTGCTTGTTGTACGAGGCGCTTGCTAGAACTTGTCCGGGTAGGGATGAGTCCCCGCGTAGATCCCCCGTCCACGACTCAAACAAAGCGCCGCTCCTCAGTCTGCCTGGCTGATCTCGTTCAGTGCACGACATCCCCAGCTATAGCTCCCCGTGAAGTTTACGCTTTGCTTCGAAATTTCTTTCGGTCAAAGTCACGTGGGTAGAAAATAAATAACAAAGTCAATCGAATCACATCCTCCCACCCAGCTTAAAGGACGCTGCCGAGCTTAGCAGTTACATTTAGATTTAAAGCTTTCGTGACAGCAGCGATTCATATTCTTGGTTCTTTCGGTGAAGTCACCACCACGTGGAAGGGAAACAATAAAGTGATAAAAATATAAAACAATAAAATTATTGTAAAACAATAAAATTATTACTCTTGGTTCTTTCGGTAAAGTCACCACCACGTGGAAGGGAAACAATAAAATAATAAAAATATAAAACAATAAAATTATTGTAAAACAATAAAATTATTACTCTTGGTTCTTTCGGTAAAGTCACCACCACGTAGAAGGGAAACAATAAAATAATAAAAATATAAAACAATAATATTATTGTAAAACAATAAAATTATTATTCTTGGTTCTTTCGGTAAAGTCACGTTGAAGGGAAACAATAAAATAATAAAAATATAAAACAATAAAATTATTATTCTTGGTTCTTTCGGTAAAGTCACCACCACGTAGAAGGGAAACAATAAAATAATAAAATATAAAACAATAAAATTATTGTAAAACAATAAAATTATTATTCTTGGTTCTTTCGGTAAAGTCACGTTGAAGGGAACAATAAAATAATAAAAATATAAAACAATACAATTATTGTTAAAACAATAAAATTATTACTCTTGGTTCTTTCGGTAAAGTCACCACCACGTAGAAGGGAAACAATAAAATAATAAAAATATAAAAACAATACAATTATTGTTCTTGGTTCTTTCGGTAAAGTCACCACCACGTAGAAGGGAAACAATAAAATAATAAAAATATAAAACCATAAAATTATTATAATCTTAGCTCTTTCGGTAAAGTCACCACCACGTAGAAGGGAAACAATTAAATAAT